TGAGCATAATGACCTTGCTGAGCTACCATGGGGTAGCTTGACGGTGGAGCATCCTGTCCTTGGTGTACTTGCTGAACGAGTGCTCCTTGAAGTGAATCGGATGGTGCTCCATGCGTGTCTGTCATCTGCCACGTAGGTTGGTAAGGCGCCATCGGTGCCGGTTGTGGTGCACCATGTCGTTGAGCCGGAGGTGGAGGTGGGGGAGGATGCCACTGACGACCGTTCGAACCCGGTACCAATTAAGGTAGCAAATGTAGCAGAACCAAAAGAAGAATGTTGCCAATCATGCCGGATGCTTGTTCACGTCGACCTAAACCAAATCTGACACATAAGGCGCGCCGGCCTTCTTGCCAAACATCGGGCGGAATCCACATTAGTGGACCCAGCATGTTACTAATCCACGAAAATGCGTATCCCTTTTCAGTCTCGCTCGCCAGGCGAGATAAGTTTTATGATTATCCAATGCGTCCGCACCGGAGTGGGGACTAACATAGGCAGCATTCACGCGTAGGAGCGAGGCTCCACCGACACCCGCAGCCCTAGGCACTGGGCGGGCTGGCTGTATAACACACTTTATGTTTTAGTGCTCCACTGGTGCTGGTAGTTGATGCTGTTCAGGAAATAGATATGCTCGAACAAGATGTAGAGGACGAACTCGTGAGTGATGAGGTAGAGAGGTCGCGAAATTAAGTGTTATGTGAAAATATCAAACTCTAAACATGCCAACTCATGTCACATGAATGCTCTGACGCACACACATGCTCTGCATTCCAACATGGCATGGAAATGTATCACATCTCTGCTCGGCATGAATGTTCGTCACTCATGCATGTACTGCGTTTCGACATGAGTCATGACATGCTCATCAATGAGTCCAGACGTGCTCCGAACCTTCTCCATGTTCTCGTCCATGTTCATGCTCATTCACTCGACATGCTCACGTGATTCTGCTCGGCTACTTTGCTACTCATGACATGCATAACAACAGCTTCGCAGTGCACTCAAGCTTGATGGGCTCAAGATCTTCGTGTCAAGCATCAAAGAATTCATCCACGTGTCATGCGAAATCCAAAAGACCACGTCGAAAAACTGCATTGTAGTTGAGGTAGTAGAACAACAGCGAGAGGATGGTACCAATGCACAGCGTATGTTACAGGACGTCTATAACGGAGATGGCGTCCCATCTCCATATCACTGTGCACTGAGAGCGTCTTCGTTGGCAGGAGACTCTCAGGCACTCCCTGCTGGAAATGACATGTAATCTCTTGTGTTTGACTGCAAAGCCATGCTCATTTTGGTCCTGTCTGCAGTGCTTGTTGACGATCCCGCGTGTACAGCGGTGTGCCACGCACACAGAGACACACGCAGACAGACACACGCAGACACACGCGCGCACGCACAAACGCACACACAAACACAGACACACGCAACACACACACACACACACACACACGCAGACGCACACACACAGACACACAAACACACACACACACAGACACAGACACACACACACACAGACACAGACACACACACACAGACACACACACACACAGAAACACACACACACACACAGACAGACAGACACACACACACACAGACACACGCACACACAACACACACACAGACACACACGCACACAGACACAGACACACACACACAGACACAGACACACACGCACACAGACACAGACACTCACACACACACAGACACACACACACACAGACAGGGGTCCGACGCCGTCATGGGTCCAACCGTGGCCGATACGGCTTTGAGGGTTTGAGGGGTTAGGGTGTAGAGTTTCAGGTCAAAGGTTTGGGATTTGGGGTTGACGGCTTAGGGGGAAACTGTTCTCACTCACTTACTCACTCACTCGCTTACTCCCTTACTCACTCAAATTCACGAATTTCTTTCTTTCTTTCTTTTCTTTCTCTTCTTTTTCTTCTTTCTCTTGTTTCATTTCTTTCATTTCTTTCTTTCTTTTTTTTATAATTCTCTTTCTTTTCTTTCTTTTCGTTCTTTTCGTTCTTTTCGTTCTTTTCGTTTTTTTCGTTCTTTTCGTTCTTTTTGTTCTTTTCGGTCTTTCCGTTCTTTTCGTTCCTTTCTTTCTTGTATTTCTTTTCTGTCTTTTCTTTCTTTTCTTTCTTTTCTGGCTTTTCTGTCTTTTCTGTCTTCTCTGTCTTCTCTGTCTTTTCTGTCTTTTCTTTTCTTTCTTTTCTTTCTTTTCTTTCTTTTCTTTCTTCTCTTTCTTTTCTTTCTTTTCTTTCTTTTCTTTCTTTTCTTTCTTTTCTTTCTTTTCTTTCTTTTCTTTCTTTTCTTTCTTTTCTTTCTTTTCTTTCTTTTCTTTCTTTTCTTTCTTTTCTTTCTTTTCTTTCTTTTCTTTCTTTTCTTTCTTTTTTTTCTTTTCTTTCTTTTCTTTCTTTTCTTTCTTTTCTTTCTTTTCTTTCTTTTCTTTCTTTTCTTTCTTTTCTTTCTTTTCTTTCTTTTCTTTCTTTTCTTTCTTTTCTGTCTTTTCTGCCTTTTCTGCCTTTTCTGTCTTTTCTGTCTTTTCTTTTCTTTCTTGTCTTTCTTTTCTTTCTTTTCTTTCTTTTCTTTCTTTTCTTTCTTTTCGTTCTTTTCGTTCTTTTCGTTTTTTTCGTTCTTTTCGTTCTTTTCGTTCTTTTCGTTCTTTTCGTTCTTTTCGTTCTTTTCGTTCTTTTCGTTCTTTTCGTTCTTTTCGTTCTTTTCGTTCTTTTCGTTCTTTTCGTTCTTTTCGTTCTTTCTTTCTTTTCTTTCTTTTCTTTCTTTCTTTCTTTGTTTTCGTTCTTTTCTTTCTTTTCTTTCTTTCTTTCTTTCTTTGTTTTCGTTCTTTTCTTTCTTTCCTTTCTTTCTTTCTCTCTCTCTCTCTCTTTTTCTCCTGCGGCCCCTGAAGTCGCGATTGCCCTGTGCGCGGTTCAGAATGTCGACACAAGAAGCTCCAACATCTGAGAGAAAAGGTTGTTTTTGCTTGTGCTGTCTTTGTCTCTGTGTGTGTGTGTGTGTGTTTGTGCGTTTCTGTGTGTGTGTGTGTGTTTCTGTCTTTCCTTCTTATATACATATATGCATATATTGATGTGTTGGGGCGTTGTCTGTATGATGTCTTCTCCAACCGGCCCAGCCCAACCCATAAAAAATATTCGACCTTGGCCAAGGCATTACCAAGTTTAGTGTTCCGTGGCGCGGCATCTCTCGGGAATGCACACCGTCCATAGCTCACTCTCATCTCGGTTCCATCAAGCTCTGGCTCAACCTCGTCTGTTTGTGCCACGTCACTTCGACCCATGATGCCCAGCCATACCCGCGCCTTGCTCGAAGTTGAGAACTAAAGGCGGAGTCCGCATCTGCTGGCGCACGATTTGTACGCAGCCGCAGTTACGTGCCAACTTTTGCAAGCATCCTCCATGGCTTGAACTGGACATACCCATGGCAGCCAAAACTTCAGAAGTGCTTGAAAATAGCTTGAAGTGCTGTCGCACGAGGGGTCATGCTATGGTGCTGTTATGGTGATGATCGGTTTCCTCATTGATGTCGTCATTCACCGCTTCTACATCATGGGTTTTTTTTTGTAACCCTTCGGAGTTGACAAGTACCAGATTCCCGCTTGTGACGTGTGGTCATGCTTTCTCAATGCTTTACTTGGGTTTGTTGGGGTTGGAATCCGATGGAGGACTACACTTGAGATCAGGAAACGAGGTAGTGTGAACATGACGTTTGCCTCCAGAATGTTTGCCTCAGGCTGTCTACGGCCAAGTCTTTTCAGCAGCTTCAGCAGCTTTGCCTGCTTCGGTAGCTCGACGCAAACCAAAACTCCTTAAAACTTTGATGTTCGAGACAAACAAAATCATCGGAGAAACAATTTCTTTCGTTACCCGACCCCCTTGCCATGGATTATCATGCACTGGAAGCTCACACAGTGAAATTTCCTATTGTTTATTCCACTTCCCATAAACAGCAAACCATTTTTTTTGTTCCACAATTGATTCCCTAGCAGAAATTGGACTATCTTTGTTGCATGCCTTCAGAGTAGAAGCTGCTGTGCCGGTTCAAGCCTTGTGCCCTACTACTGCTGAGTTGCTTGAGTTGCCTGCCTCATGAGAGCATGGTGTGTTGTGGTGATGTGCCTTCACAACAGAGTCCAGAATCATGCCTGCCAACCACATCCGCTTACCCTTTACCCTGTATCTGGTGTAGCCGATGCTTGCATTATGCGACCCGCGTACAATCTTTTGTTTGCATAAAGTACGATGGCTACGTGGCTAGGCGTGTAGAATAGAACAAACTTTCCCTGGCTCCGGGGGCTGGGCAACAATGACGCAGGTTCAACCCACTACGTCAATCTTCCGGATAAATGGAATGTTCATGTGAGAGCCGCGTTTTCAACAGCTGGGTTGTATGATTATGAATTCTGAGACATGGCGAACTTGAAAGCATACCAATCTCGTTTTCTCGATAATGATCAACTTCGACATCGTGCGTCGGGCTCAGCCAGAAGGATAATTCTTTGGTTTCGTGTGAACAAGCTTGTTCCCTTACTCCAGGACATCAAGTTTCCAGCGTTCGCATGGAGACCTCGTCACACAACAACAGAAAATAATGTCATGTGGAGGAATAACGTTTGCAGTTCAAGCTGCATGCATTTTTTGATGTTCGATGCGCAAAGTTTGTCCGACACCAAGCTGACAGTTGTATATACGTGAGGATGCCATCAATGAATCCTTCTTATTGATTTTTGTGTGCCGGTCGAGGGCCGACAGGATCGCAAGCATATTGTCGATACTCGGAAAGGTACATGTCGACGTTAGCAAAATGTTGATGTCCTGCCTCTTGACCATGTGAGGGAAGGGATTTATTTGCATGTCAGATTTGCGAACGATGGCAGACACTTTGGCAAACATGAAGCTTCCGATACGCGAGATTTTCCGCAGCCTTGTTGTAGACAAACGCAAGGCTCATGTAGCCGGGGGACGGAAGGTATTGCAGCAACCATGGCGGAGCATGAAAACCGTGGTTTCTGGCGTTTGTTGCTGCTGCTCCTCGTTTTGCCGGCAGATCCGGTGCCTTCCTCAAACATGTTTGCTAATGTCGGCAGCCATGTTGGTGCATGCAGTGCGCTGAGGACTGTTGTGGCCATGGTGCCTTCGTAACAATTGCCGGAGGCAAAAAAATTGAAGCTTGACTGTATGCAGCACTCCTGACATCATAACTACATAGCATGGCTACACATGCCAATGTGTTCATTGGACAGAGTCCTTTTTGAAGTGTTGTCATCAATCCAAGGCTGGTCCAGTTCGGATAGCCGGCCCGAAGAAAGAGAACCAGTGGAGGCTTCAGCCTGACTCGTCTCGCATCCGATCACGTCGATGTCCGTGGTCGATAGCGCCCACAAGAGCCCACCTTTTTCAGCATCAGGATGTTCTACAGCACTACCAGCATTGCCAGTTGAATGAATTATCAGGTTCATCCCAACCCTAAGACGGTTCCTTGTCGGCAGGGCCGTGTAAGTGACATGGCGGTTTCTTGCGCGGAACGCGATTGCGAAGCCCGGTTACGAAACCTGAACTTCCTAAAAGAGGGAATGGAACACCTTTTGTGCTGCAAGGTAAGAGACAACCCCAAACATGGAGTGCAACGAGGCCAACATTCCTGCGATGTCCATTACATCCGAAAGATAGCAGTGATGGGGCACACACACAGTATTTTGCGACCACAACGTTCCTGAGCGGGTCCAGAAAGGCAGAAACTCTTCGGCGAATTGAACCACAAACTGCATCGCTGCTGTTCTTGGCATAGCATTTCCCTGCACCGCCTCTGCTGCCACGACCTTTTTGGCCAGCAATCCTCGTCATGGCAATTTCAACAAAGCAAAAGCGTCAGGTACGTTGAAGTGGCTTGCCCCTTTGGACTGATGGGTTGTTGCCTTGCAGGCCGCTGCCATCTCCACCTTCACGCTTCTTCGCAACTCGCCTCCTATCGCTTCAGTTCTGTGGTGCAGTCAACATGGGGAACGCTCCGCTTTTCCTCGTGGTTGCCGCTCCCACACCGCCCACAAGCGCGACGTGGCCCCAGAACAAAAAAAATCGCCTGTTGTGAGTTCTGTGCGGAATGCCAGTGTCCGCCAACCAATGGCTTCGGGGCATCAGTGAGATGCATTGAGATGCCCTCTCACGTCAGGGATCACGTCGTGAAAGACATGTTTTATGAATTGCCACGCCATCGGATCAAGCCCAGCTCTTCTCGTACTTCACAAGAAGAGCATTTTCTAATTTCGGTCGCGAACTTCATTCCTCGGAAGCCCAACCTGGCGACGATGTCACTTGTGGGTGGCCTCCAGTGGTCAATGGCAACCTGCTGCATGTTGTCCCGCCCTCGATCACGCAAAGATTCCCGATCGGCAGAGAGACCGCGTACATCGGCTGTTCACGCATCTTTACTGCTTTGAAAATGCGCAGCGTCCTTCCGCTAAAAACGGCTGCATGTGTGCACACGTTGAGTATGTTGGGTCACATCACTGCAAATATCTATGGGTGGTGATTTGTTCTGATACAGCGTGGGGCCCTTCGTTGTTGCTTGCTTCTGATCGACGGCATTGGGGCTTCCGCTGCGTTGGGGAAGCCCAGGTCGCACTGCCGTTTGGCAGGCTCTTTTGCGGCCAGCTGTGATGCGAGGGCATGTCCCATTGAGCTGCTCAACCCGAATAACGTTGGCAGGTGTTGCCAAGCCAGAGGGGAGATTCCCTCCAAACCCGGGTGGGAGGGGGAGGGGGGTGGCGGCCTGGCCTGTAGCAGCGGTGCGCCATGTGAACAAGGAGCGACGACGTGGCGTTTCAGAGGGCAGAGGCTGGGGTTCTCGCTCTCGCCGACATTGCCTTTCTTCAGCAGAAAAGTTGTATACCAACAAGGTTTGGACGAGGATCCGCAACGCCTCACTTTAGCCGGAACCGCGAACCAGTTTCACAGCACGTCAAACTGGTTGATTGTTTGTAGGCCGGAAAATCGGCTATTGAAAAAACCGCCTTCAATGTGCCAAATGAGGCCCCAGTAGGCTCATCGCTTTAAACTTTCAAGTATAAGCTGCGAACCTCTCTCGAACAAGATTGGCTGATATCCTCTACCCAGGAGCTCGCGTGCGTTGGTCAACGAATGGCGAAGCAAACTTGTCGGGGCAGTGGAACTTCACTGAAAGCAGGCTGTTGCCCCTCTGCACGTTGGCCAGCGACAACCCAGATACGTCCCTTGTTTGATGTGTCCGTTGGTGGCAATGGGTGCCCGGTAGGCATTGAAAAGGCATCCGGCAAAAGTGGCGCTTCAATGCGCGATCGCATTGGCACTGGCCTCGAATGAGTTGCCCAAAAACTGGCGTCCCATAGCTGTGGTCAACATTACCTACAAGCAGTTCGCGAAATCGGTCAACGACCCTGTCAGCCCAAGGACGGAGCTGATGGGGAGATGGGCTGGCGACAGCGCACTGGAGTGGAACATGCCCTCGTTATTTTTGAGACGTGTGGAAGGGCGGTTGAGTAGGACGGCACGTTTTGGTGGGTGGGCCCCGCGCTGATTCGCAACAGGCCTCGATCATATTGAGCACGCACCATTCTTCGAGGCACGATATCGCATCGACGAGCGACTCCCCTTCATGCGAGCGGCAGTCCGCCACGCGTTGACGTCAGCCCTGACGCGGCTGCGCGCGGCGCACGCGGCCGGTCACGGCATTGGCCCTGTTCCTACTCGCCCCGCACATGCTGCTGGCACACCCGGAGCAACAAGGCTCGCAAGGCCGGGCAACGCTCCTCGCACGGGCAGCGGCGTTCCAACGAGGCGAACGGAGACAGCTCCTTGCTGGTGCACGGCCCGGACCACGAGCTCGCGAGCCGCCGATGGAGCTCGACCCAGCCGTGGCGTCCAAGCGCGCGCCAACGAGCGAGCATGCGCCAAAGTGCGGCAGGGCGAGCTCTGTCGCGCACGCGCGCCGGGCATGGAGGCCAACGCGGGACTCGCTCACTGATTCCGTGAAGCGCCCGCCCGACGCGCAGGTCCCGACGCCGCTGAGTTGCTTCAGTACCAACCCAAGGGCTCCGTTCAGCTCTCACCGAGCAGTCGCCAGCGCATTTCGCGAGGCTCGACGGGGCGGGGCGGCTGGCTTGTCCGGCATAGTTCCGGCATTAGGGCTGAGCACTTGAAGTTGCTTTTGCAGGACATGGAGGCGCTGGAACTGCTGACTGCGGCCACGCACCTCGCAAGCTCATGTTCCGTGCGCTCTGCCGTTGCTGCCCGCCAAGCTGCCCATTGGGCCTCCTGGTGTGACACGCTGCCGGTTATCCATGCCCTAGCGCCAGTAGCTGCAGACCGGCTGCTCCATGCCTTGCAGGGCCATGTGCCCTTGCCCGCAGCGGCCGCTGCGAATCAGGCACGCGATGCCCTTCGCGCCACCGGCTACGACGCGCCGGCGTGGGCCTCCCTCCTTGACGCCTCAGACACGCCGCCAGCGCGCGGCTGCGCTTTCGAGCCAGGTGATGCCCCACAGGGATGGCAGCGCCAAGCTGCCGGAGCGTGCGACGAACGCGCGTGCGAGACGCATTTTTCTGACCTCACCCTTGCGTCCCGTGCGCTGCTGCTGTCGCAGGCTGGGCCACATTCTGCCCGAGCCATCACCGTCGCGCCCACGCACGAGGCCGTGTCCATTCCGAATGCGCAGTTCCGCATTCTGCTCCTGCGGCGCCTGCGCCTGCCCCGGTCACTCGCCCCCTGCACGTGCAGCTGTCGTGGCAGGCTCGACGCTTTCGGGGACCACCGTGCCGCGTGCGCTGCTCGCCGCGCGCGCATGGCTACTGGACCGCGCCGTTGCGGGGGTTTGCCGCGAGGCCGGTGCGCGTGTCGCTCGCGACGTCCGCGTCGCCGACATGAACATCGACGTGCCTGTCGCAGACGACAGGCGCATCGACGGCCCGCGGCTGCGTGCAGCTTATTGCAGCTTTGGCTAGTCTCGACACTTTCTCTGCCGAAGTCGTGTTGTCGCAACCTTGCAGTTTGCTTCGAACCCCCCCCCCCTTTTGCGCCTCGGACCCCACGCGGGTTTTCGCATTTTTTTTTTTTTTTCCCGCTCCTTTTTGCTGCTGCCTGAGGGTCCGCGGTCCCTGTGCACCCTATGGCTCGGGAGGGGCGGGGCGGGGAGGACGGAGGTCCAGGGCCCTTCAGGTGCGGAGAGGCAAACGGCTCGGGACTGGTGGGGGTGGGGCCGCTTCAGAGGCGGCAGCGCCCAGGAGGTCGCTCAACTCCAAGGCTTCCCCATCAACATTGGCGGCGTTGGCGAGGGGCAGCGAGAGAAGACTCGCGGCCAGTGCTCGTGCGGCTGCAAAGGAGAGGAGGGCTGACCAGCGGGCGACGTAGGCGGCCCTGGCGCTGGATCGCAGCAGGGGAGGGGCTGCGTTGAGGCGCAACCGAGCATGGGACCACAAGTGATGCTCCAGGCGCTGGTACAAGTGCGAGATACGCGCCTGCTGTGCCAAAACGTAGATGTCATCATTTTCACTTCCGCCTGCAAGGCGCTGACGTGCCAGTGGTTTCAGAGTACTGTTACCTTGGTGTTTTCTTTCAATCGTCGAGGGCATGGTCAAAGCATGGCCGTCGGCTTTATGAAAAGAGTAACCGCAAATTTCATCAATTCCTCGCTTGGGCCGAGAATCGGAGTCCTACGTGCGAGGGGAGGGCCCCTGGAGCGTGCGGCGGCTCAAGGAGGCCGGGGCCACTGTCGCACTCAATGTCTGCGTGCGTGATCTCAACCTCGATGCAGCCCGCCAGGATGAACGGCGGATTGAGGTCATCGCAAATGGCCTTCCCATATGGGGCGGCGCCCAAGTCGCAGTACACAACCTTCGTGTCTCCCCTCACGGCTGCTGGGGCCCCCCCGCCGAGAAGGTGGCAACGCTGTCGGGGCGGCACCCCGCATCGCGCGCCGCGCGAAGGTCCGCACCTACCCCGAGTTCGCTCGCCCTCCCAGTGCCGTCTGGCCGTCATCGCAATTGAGGTTGGAGCCTTGAAGCGGCCCGCTTCGTGCGTCTGCTGGCACGTTGCCGTGCCCGCTCTGTGCCACCGTCCAGCCGTCCCGCTGCCATCTCTGCTTTTGCCCAGCGGTGGTCGGCCCTGCTCGCTTTCGCCGTTGCATGGCCTTCGCAGCAAGCCTGCTGTCGCTCCCCCTCGCTGGCACCGGCAACATTGGTGGGGAACCCCCAGCACTCAGCGAGCTCCTTGCTGATTCTTCCCTGCCCCCCTCGCCAGCTGCATGCCGTGACTCGGCTGCCTGCACCCTGGCTGCGGCGCCACTGCACAGGGACCGCGCGGACAGGAGGAAAAAGGCCCCGCAAAAGAAAAACTTGTCCCTTTGGCACGGCTCGCAGCTCGCGGTTGACGCCACGCTCGTCTCCCCGCTCACACGTACAGGCGAGCCCCACCCGCGGGCTGATGTCGGCGCATGGGCACGCAGGTGGTGGCAAGTGAAAGGGTGCACTGCTGCATGCAGCTTTGGTCCCGACCGGGGAGTCTTGCGGACAGAAAAGAGGCCAGATAATACAACAATAATATTCCCCACCTCGTGAAGTTTGATAAGATCACTGGGGATGATGCCACCACATAGACTGGGCCAAATCATGACAGTTTGTTTCTCCTCAGCGGTTGAACGTGTCAACTTGTTCGAAGGACGTCAATTTTACCATTTCTTTAAAGCTTTGAGGAGTGTTTCCACCCCACTTTGGCTCGCAGGTATCTCAGCAAATTTGGTTATGAAACCGGCCCTCCCGGCTCGTTTACAGCTGTGGCGTGGCCAGTACATCGATGTTGGATGCGCTGGGCGCCGGAAGGTACAGGCAGCTTCAACTTCCGGTTTCAATTAGCGGCTCCGAAAAGCATACCGGAAGCTGCCGTCCTGCAGCTGGAGGTGTACTTGGATGCTCGGACAATTTTTTACATGCCGTTTCTACTTCGGTGTTGTTCTGAATCGCGCTATGGATCGCCATGTCAGGTGATTTTGTCGCAGTGCCGTGTGAACTGGTTAAGGACGAGCATTGGCCCGATGTAGAGGCAGAGCCCAACTTCTGCGACCGGCAGAAACGGGCGAAACAGGCTCGCAGTGGTTCCACAAGCCTGATACCACAAAGTACACAACATCAAGTACCAGTACACCAGTTCTTGTGGGTTTTTGTACCCGTATTGCAGTGCCGAATTTCATCCACTATTTCATGTTGAGAGAGAAGCGCAATGGTATTGTGATGTCAAATGCACCGTGTTCAGAAAATCCACCATTTCGAATGGCAACTTGAGTTCATTGATTGCACCTCGCCGCAAACGAGAAACGATGTGAAAGTTTGAAAGGCTGTTGCGAGCGATTACCTAAGCGTGCGATTGACATCATTGAGCGTCGGCAGGCAGCAAAATCACAAGGTAAGAAAATTCCAACAGGAAACCCAGGTTTGGGATTATGTTACGATTAGGGCAAAGTTTTGGGGGTTTGGTTTGAGGCGTTCAATACGACATAAAGTGTCGCAGATCGTTGCTGCGCGGCCGGCCAACCAAATATTGGAATCCTTGTCAAAGAAAGATCACTCGGAGCGAGTGCATGTGAGGTGCGAAATATCTCCATCGGGCCTGGTTCCAACTGGACGGAATGGTCTCAAGGTGCATACGGCATGCATGATGTATTGCCGCGTCACTGCAGTGAGTGCCTGTGAGTGCCTGTCATCCTTTGGAGGCACTTTAAGCCAGAACATTCGTCCTCACATCTGGCACCATGGCATACCATTAGCACCAGATTCTGTGGTTTCAGTTTGCACCTGTATGAGCTCTGCTGCCGAGTTTGAAGGTATTTCGTGATATCGGATTGCCAGCAGTCGCTGGCCAATTTCACGCAAGCTGCTGCAAGAAGATGGCGTTGTCAGTCTGTGAGGTGGCCAATCGCTTGCGCCGACAATTCATTGCGTCGTGCTTAGGCACAGATTGAAGTTCGAGTTTCATGCTCAACAACCCAACGGATCGGAGTTTAGTGTGGAGATGATGCTTGGCATTAAACCGCATTGTGAGCATGTTCTGGGACCCGACATGATTCTAGACGAAGGTAGGTTCAATCGAAGATTGTCAAGGCTTCTTGTTGTAGGTTGTGCATTCTTTTTGTGAGTGATGGCTTGATTCGCTCAACGCCGTAGCAAGCAGCAAGAAGACAAATTTTGCAAAAACCCTTCATTCAGTGTGATCAATTTGCTTTCATGACGTGCGTCTACTAAGATACTAAGGCGAGGCATGCTATTAGCAAATGTGGCTTGGCGGCAGGTGTTGGACCAACTTTTGACTGCATGTGTGTGTTTACTGGTGTTTTGTTTGCATGATGAGAAAAACGACCTGACACTGACAAACCAACTCTGGTGGCAACCCGCTGGGGCAGGAACCCATGTTGAAAGGAGCTGGCTCGCAACGATACCAGTATTCATGTAGCAAGGCAGTGTCAAGCAAAGTGCAGTAGAGATTTTGGACGCTGTGTCGTGCCCCGTCAGCGGTGGCCCGGCGATGGGGCAGTTGTGGGTTTGTGCCGATTCATGCAGACTTGATGCGTTGCAACACCACGAAGCCAGATGGCAGCACCGCTATCTTTTTGGCATGGTTTGCAAGCGAAGGTGTTGTTTCTCGTGTCCTTCATAGTCTTCCTGCACTGGTTCGCGAAGAGGACGGGCAATTGCTTGGAACATCGATTCCGATAAATGGGAGGTGCAAAGTGTGTCGGTTAAGGCGATGCAGTAAGCCAGGCAGAATGAGCCAGCTTGCTTCACCAAACTTGTGCACCTGGCAGGACGCTTGCGTTTGGGAAAAGCGCAGGCTACGTGCATCCGGTCATTTGGACGCTAGCGTCAGGATACTTGCTTAGAAGTTGAACAGACGTGTGGGTGTAGGTGCCATTTGGGGCCGCTTGCTTTCTTGTTCACTACCTGCTGATCCCAAGGAATGATCACTCAATTTGTCGCACAGGCCCGCAATTGCGATTGTTTAGGGCTTGGACCCCCCGAGGTTTGGGATTGCAGATTCCAGCTGCCAGTGCTCAGAAGGCAACAGGTACAGCAGTGAGTAGCTCTCAACAGTCTTGGGAAGCTCTCAATTTCTGCAACGCCCGGCGCACATTTTCTATCAACTGGGAGAAGGAACCTGCAAGACCTGTACCTAATCACACTCTCATCCGGATGTCAAGTTCTGTCCGAATTCACAAGACGGCCAGAGCGCTGTTTGGAGTTCAGGGGATACGGAGGACCCTTAACTTGACATAGCTTGACCACATGGTGATCCTTGCCTTGCTCAGACTATGCACACCATCCACCTTCTCGCTTACAAGTACGATGGTGATGGCCTAAAAGCCTGCGAAGTCCTTTCCGAGATCCTTTTCATGCTAGCGCAGGCACACTGTCCGACTTGGCCTTGTGCTTGTGCAGGTGTTGTCCCACACCCAACAACGTGCAGGTGATTCAGACATCCCTGCTCATACTGATAGCGCTTGGTTACACACTCCTCCAGTCCAAGATTGGGGAGCTAGACTTGATGCCGCTTTCCTTGTCCAGCTTGTCCAGCTGCCACTGCATTGAGCACTGCGCTTGTGGGGGGTGTAGATTGTTTTGTCAAGGCTTGCATGTGTTGATGCAACCCTGAGGATTCCGATGTGCTTCATGACGCTTGGCTACAGTCGGCAAGGTCGCATTCTGGTCGATGCAAGTAGGTGAAAGGGTGTGCGGGCAACAGCCGCTTTAAGGATCGGGGTGATCCACATCATGCTGGTAGGGTTCGGCAAGATCAAGGCCCTGGGCTTTGTCTCTGGTGTTTGTGAATCATGCGAAGTACTTCATTGATGAACTCCTTAAAGGACGATGCCTCCTACAAGTACCATGAGAATGAGGGAGTCATTGGCTGGATACTGCTCTCTCTCAGGCTTGAACCCGGCGTCATGAGTTGCATCACTTACTGTGATCATGTGTTTTTGCATGTACTGCAAATGACAGGCTAGGACTCTACTGCTGGTTCCTCTGGGCAGTGCAGTCTTCTGCGCGTGAGGCTTGGCAGGGTCCCGGTCTTGACATGTTGAGCCTGGGGCAGCGTGTGATGAAGTCAACTGTCTCTTATCTCGTGGATCGCTTGAAGCACTAACATCCCCGCTGTGAATGCGACATCTCAAAGATTACATGATGCCCTGCCTATTGAGATGCTTCTACCCTTCTTTTTCAGCAGCACTTGAAAAGCTGCTGAGCCGATCTGAGCGGCACAGGGCGGCTTTAAAATTGCCAACTTCCTGCGGCAGTTTCGCATCGCCGGCTCGTGGCTTGGCTAAAGATGGGCGCAGCCGCGATCACCAGGAAGCTTTCGGGAGTTGAGGGTCCAGAGGGCTGAGAGGTGGACAGGGTTGGAGAGTGGCTGACTGTGGGACTGAGGTTGTACTTCCTGGCGTTTCCAGCGTGTGCCTTGGGATCTGGACGACCATCTCACAGCTGAAGGGGCACTTTCAAGAATTCAATGGTGATTCTGCGCTGAGACGGAGGTTAAGTGCTTGAAGCCAGTCCTGTCTCGTCACGCGATTCTATCAAGTGTTAGTGCTGAGGCCATATTCTTGGCCCGAAGCTTGGAGTTAACTGAAACACCTTGCGTGCCTTTGTCTGGCACACCTCTGCATATCCTTATGCCTTGCAGGTCACACAACTTTTTGCACAGTACCTGCAGCACAGCGTCATGACAATAGGCAGGGTGGCCAATGGAATCATAAGGGACTTTTGTTTGGAACAGTCCACACTCACGTCGCATCGGTGCCGATGTTTCAGGTCAGATGGTCATGCAGACTGGCTTCAACCTATGGCTGTCCTCCCTTTTCCTGACCCGAGGGGAGTACTTCAAGGCACACTTAGCTCCCCCTCCGGCCAGCCGCAGGTGCTGCAAGACCCCACAGGACCCCGCAAGACTGAGAGTGTCGTATTTGAATGCAGGGAGCCAGTCGTGCGCTTTTCAGCTTACTGCTTTTGCTCGCATGAGGAACCTGCTCCTGATGGGTTCAACAGCACAGTGTAGTGAGGGGGGGAGGGTGCAGCGCTGGGCATTCCAGCTTGCCCCCGCTTCTCACCTACATCTGTTCCCACCTGCCAATGCTGTCTTTTCGGAGCCTCAGCAACACACATGTTGTTGGGTTTTCATGCCTTGAACCAAGGAGCCTACATGTCTGCCGCCATGCTGCTAGACCGCATAATGAATTGGAGTGCTGTGTTTTGGTGCACCAATACAGACCAATATGTGTCAGGCCAGGAGTTTAGGGACTTGACGGCTGCATCGTGTACTTCGGTTGATCCTTGTGGTGTTGGGGAGAAGCTCCCGACAAGCGAAAACTGACCACTGACAGCACAGGGAGGGGTACCGAACAAGAGGGTAACCTCAACAGTGGGAGGTTCACCGACTGAGACGCTTGGAGCACGCCCCTAGGGGCTTCCCTTCGGGTGGGGCCTTTGCTTCGGAAGGGAGGGCAGAAACAAAGAAAAAAAGTTGGGAGGGAAGGAGGGGAGGGAGGGAGGAGAGGGAGTGAGAACAAAGGAAGTGAGGGAGTATCTTTACCTGCGCAAGTAGGAAGTAGACGGAGGGAGAGAGGAGAGAGAGAGAGAGAGAGAGCGAGAGCGAGAGCGAGAGCGAGAGAGAGAGAGAGCGCGAGAGCGAGTGAGCTGTTCTGAGAATGATTTTCGGGGTATGTGCAGAGGTAGTGGACCGCAGACCGCAGCATGCCAGGCAGAACGGGTGATTTGGACTGTTGCAATGATAGTTTGCAGCATGTCATTTCCGGAGCCTGTCAGGGGAAGATGATCTCGCGCTGGAGCAAGGTCTCCAATCGCTATGGCTGCTCCTGTGCACGTGCCTGGGCAAGGAGTGCGCAGAACGTCTAGGCATCCTGTGTCCAAGAAGTTGATGGAGAACTGCAAAATGAGGTTCCTTGTGGTTTCTATGCAGCTAGGCTTTGCTATGCTGGAGGTCTCTTGGCTCAAAATGGTCGTTGCTGCCAATGTGCAGCAGATGGGGCCCATTTCCCCCGTGTCTTCTCACTTCTTGCAGTTCATCCTGACATGCGTTTCTCCGCCTTAGGGCTCTGATGATGTGCCCCGACAGTGGAGTGCATGCTGAAGTCCAATCCGAGGTGGGCGGTGTTCGCGAAGCACACAGGATGACGGTTCTTGCCAAGACACCCAGCCTTTCAAATAACATGCGTCTGTGTAAAGCGGCTGGGCAAGGGGTGGCTGGAGATTTAAGCATCCGATGAAGTGCCTAAAGGCGTTTCGGTCTAAGTGCCTCAGAGCCCTCGGTACTTCATTCTATCGTTATGCGATTCTGGAAAGTCTATGTTTTGGGGTGCCTTGCGGATCAAATGCATGTTATGGGTCTTATAGGTGTTATAGGGCTTCAGGACATCGCAAGTGTGAGAGTGGAAGCCCAGAACCATGCAACCGAGGGCTTGAATGCCTAGAAGGCCCACACCCTTGCATCAGCTTTTGCATCCTGATCCCTACAACCCTAGCGAGTCCTTTGAAGGATTCCCCTTCAGGCCAAACATCGAAAAACAAGGGCAGCTGGCAAAAGGGCTTGGAACGAGAATGGGTCGCCATGTCTGGGTTCACCTCAGTTTGGGCTTCACCAATATACGGCCTTACCCGCAGAGCACTGAATGGTGTTTTGTAGCAGCTGGCATCCCAGGAATGTCATGGACTCCGTGGTGACCTGCCTCGTCTTCGCCGGAACCGTGCGCTTCTTGCACCTTAGTCTTGTGCTTGGACCTGATGGACACGTCATGTGGCTTGTCTGCAGATCGAGGGGCCTTCTTTCACGAAGCCATGTGCCGGTGTTTCCTTATTGGTTGGTGCTGGCAGAACTGCAATGAACTGCAGCACAGCCAAGGTTCGAGAAGGAATTGTCCAATTGGGCCTTCAGTGCTACCTGTGCAACGAGTTTCGGCAGCCTTTGGCACTCAATGAACCTTACGGTTGCCCTTCAAGTTGCCAAGGATCTGTTCTGGTTCCATGGCAGAGAGGGCTCACATGGTCGTACCTTGGCGAGCTTTGGACCAGAGCCAGACTGAACAGTCGTCCAGCTGCGATCTTCCTGAGGCATACCTTGTGCACGCAGGGGTTGCTTGGCTTCGAACCTGCTTGGCTTCGAACCTGCCTGTGTTCGGAGGGGCGTGTCGTTGGTCGTTTCCCGGCAGCTCCTTCTCGAGTGAGGTGATTGGAGTCTTGGTCTACCCGATTCTTGCAGAAGGTGCCTGGGGCCAGGACACCAACTTTTTCTTCCACAAGGAATTGTCGCTCAGCCGTATATGGTGTACCCCTGATGGCTGTTCATATGATAGTCAGCGTCGTTACCGGCTCTCATGTTTGGCATCTCCAGGCATGGCCGCTTTCAGAAGAATGTCGACTACCATGACTGCGCTGGCAGTGGTGTTGTTCCCTGGCCAAGCACGATCTTAAGTGGCTTTGCGCTTGAGAGGGCACCACTGTAGCACATGTCTGGCGCATGTAGCGAGCACAACTCTGAATGCATGTGATGCCGCTTGGCTCCGATCATGTGTTTTTCAAGACACATGCAAGAGCACAGAACCACACACACACACACAAACACAGAGAGGAGCACACGTTCGTCCCACGCAGCAAACAACTGCAGAAACCATAGATGAAGAGCTGCTCCAATCGGTGCCGCCCACAGAGCCCGCTCGCACGCTGATATGGTCGCTGTTCGGGAAATAGCGCGCCTTCTAGGCGTGGCTGGTGATGTAGCGTCTAGGCTGCACATTGTCACAGGGCACTTGGCCATGCCTTGGCCAATAAAGGCATGAAGGATCCTTACCGAGTCTTGCAGCCTTGCAAATGCCGAGGTCGGTATCCTGTCGATTCTGCCACTTCTCTCCGAGGCTGCGTTCGAAGTTTGTCGACAAGTCAGGGCTCGTCCAAAATTCAGAACGCGCTTGAAACTTGCCCTCGTTTCCAGGTCAAGTTTGGGCATCTGATCGCGGCTCGCGATGCCAAGCAAAAGCGTGCCTCGGAAGAGCAATGCGCACCAACACTCGCCGCCTTCCTTTTGCCACATTGGGCTTTTTCCATCAGGTGAGGGAGACCGCTTCCCAAAGATTCCCCCCATTGGGGCCTTGTGTCTTCTCTTGGTGCCTCGCCTCAAACGGAGAATGCAATGTGGAAGTGAGACTGAGACACCTGCATGTTCACTGCGTGTTCACTTCTTCAGATGCAAGGTGGCAGAACTTTGCAGTGGGGCAGCCTTCCTGAATCCGTCGGACAAGCAGGCGCGGAGGCGCTTCTCACTGTGAGGAACCAAGCGCTGCAGACTTTCTAGGCGCGCCGGGCCATTGGTGAGGTTGTCCGCGCCCAGAAAAATGACCCGCGCTGAGCCGTTCTTGAGACTGATATGCTTTGTGTCGGGTCGCCCCATTGAACCACTTGGACCGACAGTGCAAGACACCATGACCTCATGACATCTCATGACCTCCAAGGCAGAAGGTGGTTTTGAGGAGACGGTGAACGGCATCCTGAGGCTGCTCGAGAGCAAAGATGTCCATGAAGCTCGTCTGCATCTCCATTGATCTCCACTGCGCACGTTTGCCTGGGACTCGCGATTTGCCAACGATTTCCAAGGAGTTGGCTAAACTGCTCGCTAGTGTGGGTGGCCTTGCTGCCATGCTGTGTATGTCGGCCATGAGCGGGGGGGATGCTGGTGGTGTGGGTGCCCCCCGGATGGAAAGTCTGCGTTGCAAGATGTGTGGTTCCTGTCAGTTCTTGGAGGCACGTGAAGCTGCCTTAAGCTGCATCTGGCCTTTATGGCCAATTTTTGGGCTGAGATCGGAATTCGCGCTGCCGTGGCACCGCTTCGGCCTCTGTTGACTGCTCATCGATTCTGGGGCGTACTGGCAGTGGCCGCTCTTTTCGTGCTGGGCAACTGGAGCCTCAACTGCGTTATGGATTCCACAGAGACTTCAGCTTGTCATGATGACGCAGTGCATGGTTCCACCCATCGATGCTCGCAAGGACGGCTCTGACGACTTTAGTGAAGAAGCCAGCAGACACTCACTTCATGTTGTGATCAAAGCTTTGGTTGGAAGGTTGTCGCAAATCGTTGCGTTTCAGTTCGCAAAGCGTTCGCAATCCTTCGCAAGTGTTCGTGAGTGTCGCGTGCCCGCTGTTGCGGCCGCTGCGACCCTCTGAATCCCTCAAGCTAGGGGGGAACTCCACAAGAGGGTCGGCGTGGCTCTCTGTCCTCGTGTCCTCGTGTCGCGTCTTCGCGTCATGTCTTCGTGGCGTCTCGTGTCTTCTGTTTTTCGTGTCGAGTCCTCGTGTCGTGTCCTCGTGTCGGGTCCTCGTGTCGTGCCCTCGTGTCGTGTCCTCGTGTCGTGTCCTCGTGTCGTGTCTTCGAGTCGTGTCCTTGTGTGTGTCTTCCTGTCGTGTCCTCAGTGTCCTCGTGTCGTGTCTTCACGTCATGTCTGCGTGTCGTGTCCTCGTGGTCATGTCTTCGTGTCGTGTTCTCGTGTCATGTCTTCGTGTCGTGTCCTTGTGTCGTGTGTTCGTGTCGTGTCCTCGTGTCGTGTCTTCGCGTCATGTCTTCTTGGCTCCTCTCGTATCTTCGTCTTCGTGTCGTGTCCTTGTGTCGTGTTTTCGTGTCGTGTTCTCCTGTCGCGTTCTCGTGTCGTGTCTTCGTCGCATGTCTTCGTGTCGTATCATGTTCTTGTGTTGTGTTTTCGTGTCGTTTCTTCGCGCCATGTCCTTGTGTCTTGCCTTCGTGTCGTGTCTTCGTGTCGTAGCGTGTCTTCCTCTTCGTGTTGTGTCCTTGTGTCGTGTGCTGGTGTCGGTCCTCGTGTCGTGTCTTCGTGTCGTGTCCTTGTGTCCTGTCCTCGTGTGGTGTCTTCACGTCGTCTCTTTTTTGCCAAAGTTGGTTGCACGTGTCTGCATTCGGGTGCATGGGCCATGTCATGTTGGACTTTTTTCTTCATGCTTTTCACTGCAAAAGCCGATGCTAGAGCTAAATAGCCATATAACCGCTGAGGTGTGGGGCTGCTTGGCCAACTTCGGCGCCCTTGCACGAGCCGTGGGCTTCGCTGCGGCAGCAGGCACGTCGCAATCGACCTCATGTGCTGGTTTTGCGCTGGCATGTGTCATCAGACTGGTCGTTTCAGTGGTTTGCGCTGGGTAGGTTGATTGTCCAGCATGCCATCCTAGACATGGCAGGGTACAGCATGGTACAGCCTCGACGCTACCAGCTTTCAATGACGGCTCTGTGCAACAAAGGCGTGGAAGATTCTGGTTCATTGTCTACCTGGGCCATGTTGAGTGCTGCAACCTGCATAGCTCGAATCTCGCGGAGACCCGGCACGAGAGCAGAGCTTAAGCTGGCCTGCATGCGTTGCCTTGGTGGTGCATGTGTTGATCAGGATGATTGTCCACGAGCAGCTGGCTCCGGCAGTTTGGATGGCCAGCTGGTGGTCCAAGTCGCGAGTCAGTGTTGAGCCACTGGTGTTGACCACTTTCTGCCTGGAAGCCTGGTGGCTGCCTCAGGGGGAAGTTCGGGGAAAGTGCGCAGAGCTGCTGCTTGCCCAGGCCTTCATCGACAATGTACCCCTGTTGTCCTTTCAGGTGCCTAGCAGTTCTCCTGCTGATCCTGCTCAGGCGCGCAGCTTCTTTCCCGCCTTTGCACACCTGCGGTGCTCTTCCCCAAGCTGTGTAATGGTTGGATGCAAGAGGAGACCCCGAAAGTTGGTGATCCTCCTTGCCGTGACATACCCGTGTGTGGCCCTTGCTCAAGGACATCATGTTGTTCGTGTTTCGTTGCTGGGTTTGATGTTGCATCTGCTTTTTTTTTCACCCTCGGTGTGAGGTTGCTAGATTTTAAGTCAACCATGCTCCTCGCCTCCTCGCCTCCTCGCCTCCTCGCCTCCTCGCCTCCTCGCCTCCTCGCCTCCTCGCCTCCTCGCCTCCTCGCCTCCTCGCCTCCTCGCCTCCTCGCCTCCTCGCCTCCTCGCCTCCTCGCCTCCTCGCCTCCTCGCCTCCTCGCCTCCTCGCCTCCTCGCCTCCTCGCCTGGCCTCGCCTGTTCGCCTGGTTCCCTCGACCCATCATGTTCAGGCCGGGGATTATCGAAGCTACCGATTTTTTCTTAACACTTTGGCGCTATCACTGTTTTTCTCCCCTGCGTGGCTTTCGGCACAGAGTCCTCAGCAGGAGCCCCAGCCTCGCAGCCCTTCGAAGCTTTCGTGGTCCCAGCGTTGCAGCGTGGCCCCGCAGTTATGGCTGTGACCTCTGCGGTTCGGATGCAACTTAGAAGCCTTTCTGGTGAAGTCTTTCTGTTCAGATGGCTGTGCAAAAAACTGCAGTCGTGGTTGTGTTGGTTCGAGATGCTAGTTGGTTCCAGCCTGTTGTGCTGCCAGGCGCTGCTTATCTTCATGGGTGGCTTTCCTACCATGCTGTGCAGCCTTGTCCTAATACAGGCGGGACCAGCGTGACGAACTTTAGAACGTCCTGCCTGTGTTGGTAAATTTGCCGACGGCTGCACCATTCGCCTTTGCATGTGCAAGTGCCTTTTCCTCAACCGTGAGGTGTTGTACTTCATTCATGGGCTGGACAATGCCAAGCTGTGACGCAGCGGGAGTGCCAGTCTTGAGTGGAAAAGGAGGGCTTTGCTTAGCTTAGTCGCCAAGCCCAGATGCAAAAAGGGACTTTGCTTTGTCGCAGAGCAAAGTCTCAAGCTCCACAGAACGCTACTGCGCAGCCTAGGTTCACTTGAGTGGTGGGTGCGCGGCACTGGCGGGCAGCATGCTGCTGGGAAGGCGCCTCGAGAACTTCGCTAACCATGCGGCAAGCACTTAAAGCGCTTTCTTGCTTGGATTAGATTGTCAATCTTGGTGTCCGTGTTTGCACCCTCATATGGGTCAGGCGAATTATGTGCCAGGAATTAGACCAGCCCCTCGGATGCAGGAACAGTGCGCTTGTTCACTCGCCGCTCTGCACATAAGTACGAGTTTGTGACAGCTGTGTGGGCAGACCTGTGTCTTGCCACTGCTTGCCTCCAAGGGATGAGGAGTGCAACTAGTTTGCATTAGCTGCTAGAAACTGCTGGATTCCCTTGGTTCCGTGCTTCCCATGGCTGACGAGCGGTTTGCCACACCTGTGATAGCCAGATCGGCATTGACGGTTGAGTGGTTTGGGAACACGAGATTGTGATGATCTGTTCGAAGCATCTTTGCCAGAGGCCTCGCTGCAGAGCGAGTTGAAAGTACTCTCAAGGCCTGCGAATGTGTGATCCCTTTCTGTGCATCAGCAGTTGTGGACAGCTGAATTACAGCTGACAGAGTTACGCAAGCAGGTGCGACGCCGCTGGACTCCAAGCTGCAATAATCACGAAAGCTTTCTGGAGCTTGCAGGAGTTGTCGTTTACCATGCTACCCTTGTATAAGGCACTAAGGGTCCGGGACCTTATTCGGGGCACCACCCTCACACCTTGATCCAAGGTTTTAACGCGATATCAAGTAGTTGGCAATTTCCGATCCCTGCAAGATGCTCCTCACGTGCGTCACGTTGCCCAGTGTAACCTAAGGGATGGCGTGCAAGTGGACAATTGGGCCCGGCGATACGACGATGAGGCTGAGCAACGTGTGACGAGTACGACAGTGGGGTCCGTATTTGTTGGTTGTGTTAAGATGTGGTAGTTTGTGTTAAGATCTTCGGGATGATGAGGCCCGTGACAAGCTGGAGTTCCAAGCTTGCAGCTATTTGCAAGTCATGGGCCTCTTGTCTGGTAGGATTGTACATCTTGTGTACCAGTGTATGACTGAGAGCTTGTGTGAGGGGGCTGAAGAGTTGGAATTGGGACGAGGTTCAGGTTCCCAGCGCTCAGCCAAGGAATGTTCACTCTTTGGGTGGGCTGGTACGGCTTCAATGCTGGGTGGCTGGGAGCAAACTTTGCGTCCGGCAAAAGCGTGTGGCAGGGCAGGGCGCGTCTGGCTTTTTAGGAATGAGATTTTTTCTGGCTATGTAAGCTCAGGTCTGTATTGGGGACGAACCACCACTATGAACATGCAGTGGCTTGGCAGAGGAGAGAGAGGCTCGAGCGCATGTCTCGGCACTGTCTTGCCAGGCTGCACTGGTCTCTTGGAACACAACCTTGGCTGCCAGCGCGGCAGGGCTTGGTGCATGCCTCTACCTTTACGGCTTCCACTTGATGCTTGGTGGAATTTGAGATCCCAGCCGGGCTAAACTGCGCTTGCGGCGCTTCGGCACAGGCAGGACCATGACCGACATGGCCTGCATTCTACATGGCCCAGAGGTTGCAGGCTGATGCAGGCTGCACACTGACTTGATTCATGCTTGCCAATCCATTCCAAGGAACCTCGACGTAGGCAGGGAGGGGCTTGGGCGTTACCTGCAGCCAGGGCGCAGTCGTCACAGGAGCTTCGTTTGCATGGCTGAAGAATGCAAGGAGCATGAGGGTGTGGTGTACATGGTATTGGAGCAGGGTAGCGTTCATTGGTCGAGCTGATGACATGCTTCATTTCAAAAACTGATGGGTTCTGATGCCTGCAGGCTTCCTGTGCAATGGAGTTCCAAGCTTAGCCAGCTCAAAGCACGGTGCCGGAAAGTCAGTATTCCAAGCTGGCGTCCACTGATTTCTTCAGTTGCACGAGCGTCCTGTAGATGCCCAAGCGCCCTCATTTCTGCAGAAGCTTTGCAGGTTCTGAGCGGCATGGTCGCCATCACAGCTTCCTGTGATGTGGCCACGCCAGCTGCCAGCGCCGTAATTGGCTTGCTGAGTGGCTTGCTGGTACCTTTGGCGAAAAGTCATCCTGACCCATCCAGTACTGCAATGCCTGTCGCTCCGCACTTGAACCCCAACGACATGGTGGCTCGGTAAAGGTGTATCCCACGTGTTCGAGACTTATGCGCTGGGCACAAGTCGATGACCCTGTCGACGCCGTTTCTGTCCATGCCGGGTGGAATGCTTAGCCTGCTGGTAGGTGAACATACAGCCAGAGATTGCCAGCGTTGTGTGCATCGTTGGCTGAGGTCGGGTCTTTTGGGCAGCGTGGCTACCATTATACTTTGAGAGAATAGTTGTCAAGCTCCCCTCCGACCACTTGGGGCATTCTGGGGTCACCTTTGCATGGGCAAGGAGTCTTGGCGACTGCTTTCTGCAAGCCTGACTGCGACGCGCTCCGAGCAGTGCCTGAGCTCAACCATGCGAATCGCCGGGGAAGCGGAGAAGAGGCTGCACATTCCTGCATGGCTTGGCCCGAGCTCCAATCAGATCAAGAGGGTTCGAAGCAAGAAGTAGTGAGCATTAGAGGTAAATTGTTAACAGTGCATGCCATACGTTCCCGAGTAGCACCGCAAGCCATGCGCCATGGAGATGTCGAAGCTGCCCTCGACCAAAGAGAGGGACCACTGCCATTGAACCACCGGAAGTTGGTTCTCATCAAGCCCCTCAGCAGGTTAGCCTGCGGGCTGGTCGGTGTTGGATTGCTGCTGCCCTTCACCGTATCCATCCCAGGCCTAGAGACGTGTCGGAAGGAGATCATTGGCACTGCTTGCCTGATGATCTTCTTTGGGACGCTGGTTCTACACGTTTTCCCAATTCTTTAATATCTTTAATGCAACTATCAGTGTTCTCCTATCTGTAGTGCCATCCAGATCTCCAGATGCAAAGCTGGGAAATGGAATCTAGGCCTGGGAGTTTCTGGGAAGTGACTCAGCCAAGGACCCTAGTTCGCATGCGACTGCAGCGTTGCCGCTCCGAGCTCATGCAGGTCGAAGTCGCGTCGAGCCTCGAATGCGCCTTTTTGTACAAGCGAGTGTTTGGACAGACGAAACACAGGTGCCGGTGAACTTGGCTCGGATCTGTGAATCTTGCCGAGGACGCCAGACATCCGGCAACGCCTCTGGGCGACAGCCTTCTACGATCTTTGACTGCACAATTGATGTTTCTGCGGCCCATGAAGAGAGTGGGTGAGCCGTTCAAACTGAAAGCCAGAAGTTCGCACTTGCACCATTTCTTCTGAAGGAGTCCTTGCACGCCGCCAAGCACGACTTCCACTGCATGCAGATTCAATTGCAAGATCCTTGCCGAGGGCCTACGAAGACAGTCTTGGACAAGGCGACGCTGGATCGCAGACAGCTCCCTACACAATCTCAGGCATGGTAGGTGGCAGCGACTATTGCTAGCTCACATTCGTGCATGAGCTTAGGTCAGTGCTCGACCCAGCAAATGCGGAGGCGAGGGATGTGCAGAGCACGTGCCTGTGCTGCCTTGAAGACTTTGAGGCGGGGAGCAGGCGTCACACCCTTCCCTGCGTTCGAAGATGTTCGAAGGCTATCTTTTGTAAGTCACCTGGAACTTCTACTCAGGGATATCTCTGACGTACTTGTCAAAGCATTTTGGAACGGAACTGCCACTTTGTTCCACCTTCCGGCTATAATCAATGTAGAGGCACCCCACGCTGTGTGCACAGTTCCTTGACGTTCTTTGTCACACAGGATTCTGCCGTCGTCGCTCTTTTGCCATGTGGGCACATCTTCCACGAGGCACACTTGCGTTCCGGGATTTGCCGGTAGGCGAAGTTTTCGATCGCAGCCTGTGCTTTCCGGCTGCGAGGCCTGCATCATGGCTTGGACAGTGGCGAAACGTCGAGCCTCCAGAGCTTGCCCAGTTTGCCGTGCGAACTTCATGGTGTTATGACCTTCGTCAAAAAAGGCGCTGGGTCTTCAAACTTTCTGGCACCTGCATGTACAGGCATCCAGGTTCTCAACACCTTGATGAGCAATTACGTGGTGTGTACTTTTTGTTGCTGTCCGTGGGCAGCTGCCCCTATAGCACGGAGTCCGCTGAAGTGAAGTCTCTGTGGGCCGCTGCTTGTTAAACAAGCACGAGCACGGAGGAGTCAAACTTGAACAGTTCACCAAAAGCCTAGCACGCTGCCCTGTCCATGCCAATTTCCAAACTTTGGATCTCCATGACCAGTCACATTTCAGAGCAGAGCATAGGCATTATGTAGTGGTCGTTGCTGAAGCATGGCCAACTAACGCGTGAGCGGGCCTTGGCCCATGGGCCTTTCAACTTTGCTTCGGTACACGAGTGTCAATACAGCATCTGCATGTCTTTTATTCTTGTCCAGGACGATCCTATAACGGGCCGCAGGTTCTGCCGTTTTGTTGCATGCTTGCCGACATGGATACAGGCGTGGGTTGCATGAGGTCCACGATCAGTTTTTTCGTATTGTTAACGAGTACAGAAGTAGATGGCTTTTTGCGTGAAGTTGGCATCACGGAGCAGTGACTGCAAAGCATGCTGCAGGAGGGCTTCTCAGAACTTGTCTCCTCCAGTTGCTACAGAAACAGCCATTCCTTTAACATGTTTTTGCGTGTCTATCTTAGTTCTGGAGGCTGTCCTCAGCGCAGTTCCGATCTGCCCAGACGGACTAGTTTCCGTGTTGCGCTGGCCACCTGAGCACAGCTGTTTCAACATCTTTGCGGGGCGTTGTAGAGCAGATGTCCTGCACAGTGTGTGATAACGACCATCGCGTAAGCGAACTTCGCCTTTGTGAAGGTACGACGCTGCGTCTCAAAATTTTCGAGAACAGGCTTTGTGCCTCCCGAAGCAGAAGAAGATGTTCTTCGCTGAAGCGAGAGATTTTTTGTTTGAGTTTGATCTCCTGCTTTAGCTGAGAGGGAGATGGCCCTACAGAGCAAGTGTTTGCGCGGCGCAGGTGTCAGGTCGCCTGGGGTATGTATCGGTGCCCTGAATCAGCTCGTCCAATCGGCTCCCCGACAGGCCCGAACCCGATCCGATGATGACACGCAGGTGTAGAAACGCGGACTCTACAGCTCGGATCACATCTCGTGCGTAAGTCGTTGCGTAAGTCAAGCCTGTCAGGGCCCGAATGTCGGCTCAGGACATGCAGTCACCAGAATCGCCTGGCCAGTGGTGCCATGACCGTAAAATCCATCATTGCGGCCGCGTTCCGCGACTGCAGGCCGAGTACGCCCGAGTACGCCCGAGTACGCCCGAGTACGCCCGAGTACGCCCGAGTACGCCCGAGTACGCCCGAGTATGCCCGAGTACGCCCGAGTACGCCCGAGTACGCCCGAGTACGCCCGAGTACGCCCGAGTACGCCCGAGTACGCCCGAGTCATACCCGGTCATACCCGGGCATACCCGGGCATACCCGGGCATACCCGGTCATACCCGGTCATACCCGGTCATACCCGGGCATACCCGGTCATACCCGGTCATACCCGGTCATACCGTCCCGTGGTTTTCCGCAGTCGCGGTTTCCCGTCACAGTGAAATCCATCACCCGTGTGACCCCCTTCAAACTACACACGTAACTCAACGAAAATTATTTTACAAACGGCATTGCCCACGTGCACTTTGTTTGATCAGATTCTTACCATCCGCCTACACGCCTCGCTATGTTTTGCAGTGAAGGGTCACGACACTCACTCACATCATGTGGTCCCTCCAATCATCCATATCCATATCCTTCATGAATTCGCTCACTCACTCACTCACTCACTCCCTCGCTCGCTCGTTCCACACTCATTCGCTGGCTATGACATGTCATGCTATTTCTGTGCTGTGCATGACGTTGGTTGCCGTCGGTTGAGAATCCGGCAACATCCTCTGCGTTTGTACATGTATGCCGAGATGTGGGTATTTGGCTGAATAGACATGATCCTTTTCACCAGAAGTCGATCGGAATCTACGAAGAACTGGCAAGTGACTTCTTTTGTGCAAATTTCAAGAGCACTTGAAAACCATTGAAAACATATTGAAAACTTAACAGTTGCGATGGTATTTTCTAGATGGGCCGGTAAATGCCCCGCAGCACATATACATCCGCATCAGCCGCGTGTACACTCTCCGCAGCATGTGCGGCCCCCCCCGCTTGCCCTCGGCGGCGTGTCCAACACGCACATGCTCCGCAACACCGGCACGCATGTGCTGCATATTCCCCGCATCATGTACATAGACTAAACGATGGCGGCCCATTAATGGGAGAGCATATCACATATGCCGGGATTGGATTCGGTGACGCGTGGGCCTTAGCGGTTTTGGGGTTGGGGTTGCTCCCGGGAAAGCCGACTCGACACGTGACTTTTTGCAATATTTATAAAGAGGAGGCTGTGGATATCTGGATAGACAATGCGTGGCGTTGCGCAGCGTCCTAGGCTCATAGACAAGTCAGCTGACCCGTACCGGGGCATGCAGTTGCGAGGTCGATGGAACTTCAGCTGGGGTTTGGTCGCTTGTGCTGGATTCTTTGGCGTCGTGCTACCAATGATTGTGAGAAGGCGTTGGCTTCGCTTGAAGGTGCGTGCGCGCAAAGTGCGGCGGAGGTGTGAGCACAAGGAGATGCTGGCACAGGTTCCATCCGTGTGCTTGCGCTATGGTCTGAGCCCAAGAGGCTTTCTGCCATCCTTTTGTTTGGAGCGGCTTCCAGATGAATTCCAACGCTGGGAAGACTTGGCTGATCGGCTGGTGGAGCTGAATCGAAACGGCGGTCTTAAGCAGGCAGTGGACACGCTGCCTCACATAGATCCTCAATGCCTTGAAGGTGCAGGGAAGGAGGTCTTGCAGCGGGCTTTCCTGCTTTTGGGCGCCTTTGCCCATTCGTACATTCACGGCAGTGCCGTTCCTTGGTATCAGTTGAAGCAGTCAGGGGACCATGTCGAGCGTGACGGTCCTGGTCCTTCGGGGTCTGCACCGACTCTGCCGTCGCAGTTGGCTGAACCATGGTTGCAAGTCTGTGCTCAGCTGGGCATGCCCCCTGTACTGACAGCTGCAGCCACAGACCTTTGGAATTGGCGTCTGCGAGACTCTTCCGGCCCCTTTGTGCTGGAGAACCTTGACCAGCGAGTCTCCCTCACAGGGACCAGCACAGAGAGAGCCTTCCACATGGTGCCCTGTGCCATGCAGGCGGCTGCAAGCAAAGTGGTGCCCAAAGTGTTTTTGGCCGACCTCCTTGTGAGGGCCGACTGTGATGAAGAGCTCGGGGATCTGTTGCTGGAAGTGGCCGATGTCCTGCGACAGTTCCAGCGCCTCTTCCAACAAATACCAGGAAGCGTGGACAAAGATGTGTTCTATGATGTCTATCGGCCACTGCTCAATGGCTTCCATCCCGATGGGGTGATCCTGGAAGTTTCGCCAAGGAGGGTGGACAAATCGCTCGCGTGCTCGGTTCCTCACGTGACGAATCTCGATCAAACAGGCTTCCTGAATAGCAGCAAGGGTCCGAGTGCCGGGCAAAGCACCGTCATTCTTTTGCTTGATGTCTTCCTGGCTATCTCCCACACTGGTCCGGGCGTGACTTTCCAAGAGGAGATGCTGACGTACATGCCAGCTGAGCATCGACAGATGGTCCTGGACTTCCGTCAGCGCTGGCAAGACTTGGACCCACTTCCAACATTGCTAGAACGCAAGCGGACGGCCCGAAATCCTTTCGCAGAGCACCTTCAAGAGGCCTACGATGAATGTGTGGGGGTTCTCTGTGGGCTACGTCGCCTGCATCTCTCGACGGTTACTACCTATTTGGTGCGAACATCCACCGGCACCGGTGCAACTACTTGGCGAACGCTCTTGCAGAACATGCTTAGTGCAACCTCCGTCAGATAAACTCCGCAAGCTTTCTCACAGGGCCGGTCATACGAAGATGGACGGACCTGCAGCCTTGCAGCCTTCATAGGGCGTTTTGCTGAAGCAAAGGAAGCTGCAAAGGAAACGGATCTTTTGCTTCTAGGTAGCCGCTCTGCCGTCTGCGCCTCACGTCGCAGAAAAGGGTATTCTTTTTTCTCAGGGGAAGTTGTCAACTGAGGCTGAGGGGATTGCTGTAAGAAATGTGTCCGTTCTGCCACATGCTAGGGGAGTCCCTGAGAAGCGATGTAGGCAGGTCATCCGGTCATCCAAAATGATGGCCTGTGCTCCATGTCTAGCCTGTTCGGGCTTTCGGGACTGCAGGGCACAGAGGCCAGAATGCCAGAAGAAGCAGAGAGGGAACCTCCCTTTAAGGGGGGTTTGGGGCGGGGGAGCGTGCGTAACTTGCGAGTCTCAGGTCGACTACCCGACCGAAGCCGAGGATGCCTGGCCTGCATCCGGGTGAATTTCCCTTGTGATGCGCGCCGTGTGTGCCAAGAGGGGGGGGGTTGAAACTCTACCGTGGATGTGAGCAACACCCTCTTCCTCCAAGGAGCGGTTCTGCTCTGCTTCTCACGCAGCGACTTGGCCATCTTGGCCCTGCAGTGACCAGAGTTAGAGGATCCGAGGATGCTCCTAAGTTCACTGAGAGAGCCCTCGAAGAGCCTTCAAAAGAGCCCTCAAAGAGCCCTCGAAGTTCCGAGTTCAGAAATACCCCACGTGACCAAGTGGCACAGCATGTTGTGTCAGGTCATGGCTCAGCTGGAGATTCAACTTTGGGGTTCCTTGGCAAAGAGTGCACACAAGGAATGTGACGATACGTGCTCGGGTGACATCCCCCTGTCCGTCTGTTCCAGATTTGCTTTGAAGGTGCCTTTCTCATTGTACTGTGGTCCTTCTCGAGCCTTGGCATTCAGGGATGCTCTCCTCCACCAAGTTCTTTGCTGCAGTAAGTTGTGAGCGGTACAAGTAGCCCTCAATAGCTCAAGATGGGCGGAACTTTGGCCCAAGTTCGGCGCACACGACTTTCTGCTAGCTGCCTGCTGGACCTACTTACGAAGACGCCATGATTGCGCTGTTGCTGGGAACTGCGCGCATGTTCCAATCGGATGTTCTGTGTCTTGCGCTTTGCTACAGCATTCTTGCCGTCAACCTGCTGATGGGATCGCTGATGCTTGCTACGGCTTATCAGCGTGCGTTCAAGGATGCCCAGACGGTCGAACCCAGCGAATGTCCGTGGATCAAGTTTGCCCAAAAACGTCATGTCACTGGCAGCCAACGGAACTATGCGGAGTGGCTGGAAGTTCAAAAGTTCTTCGACAGCCTGTCTGCAGACGACGAGCAGTGAAATCAAGTGATTTATTTTGCCGAACTCGATGGCAATTTGTGATCGGGAACATTCGAGTGCCTTCGGATTTTCGTGAGGGGCGGGGGGGGCAGACCCTGCTGCCCAGGCAAGGCCCCCACGTTACCTGATAAACCCCACTACCAATCACAGAATGTTCGCCGAGACTTTCTGCTGACCCAGGGGTCGGATTGCACCCCCCCCACCAACCGGCCCCCACATTTCAAAAGCATGTTGAGATCCTCGTGGCATAGCAGGCGCCTGCAAACTGCAGGATCCCACCTTCTTTTCCGAGCAATTGAAGACAGGTCTTGATACGCAGAGTGGTACAGTATCACTTTGAAGCGTCTGCTGTGCAGGGGATTTGATTTGCGGTCTGTACAGCTTGGCACCCAGAAGGCCAAACACTGCATTCTCTGCCACATGTTAGCTTAGCAGCCATTATCCGTCATTATCCTGGAGTTGGCAGTATGTGGCAGTTCATGCAGAGCACTAGTAATCTCACAAGCCCACGCTGGGTTCTCTTTCAAGCAAGGTCAGAGAGCACTAGTAATCTCACAAGCCCACGCTCGGTTCTCTTTTCAAGCAAGCGCCCATCGCCGCTCTGAGCGTTGTGCTGCTGCCAGAGCTGCAGTTTCAGCAACAGGTCTTCGGCTTTGATGCGCGATACTGCATGTTGCACGAAACCCGTTGCTGTGCCAGACGCTGACGTTCGACCTCATGAGATCGCTCGAGGGTTCGTTGAAGTCAGCTCTGGTGATGGTAATCAGTCAGGCTTGGCACAAGCCAGCCGTTTTGAACCTGCCTTGATGCACTTTCGGTGTCATGAAGCCCGGACTGCTGTGCCAATATGCCCTGAGCACAAGCAGGATGGTGCCAGAAACTTTTCTTTTATAAAATCGTGAATCTGCATGAGTTTTGAACGGACGCAGGCCTACTGCCGTGTTGAAGAGATTTGTGATGGTCTCTCCAAGCCTCTCCTTTCTGCTGCAGACGCTGATGGCGGTCTTCGGACTTCGTAAGTGGAGCGCTTGAAGAACTTCAGATGGCTTGCTGTATTTTCTTAAAGTACCGGAGGTGCAGCGAAGCGGAGAGCATCGGCCTTGTCCTCCTGCGAGATGCACAGAAATAAGGACTCTTCAATTACTGAGAGTTGCAGGAAAGGCGTGGGAGCAGAAGCTCATGTCCTGCGAGTTCTGACATGAAGGAGCTTTGGGCATACAGTGAGAGAGTGCAGCACACATCAGCCGCCAACATCTCATAATTGTCCTGAATCTAAGGGTATCGATGGCCTTCTTCTCCTTCTGCGCCTTGTCGGAGCGCCTCAGGGGACGTGAGTTGGTCCATGTGCGAGAACTTCAGGACTGCTTGTCCCCTTGAACTCTTTGAGTCCATTGAGCCCGTTTAGCCCTTTTGTCTCTCTTGGTGACGTCAGTGACATGTGCCAGGAGCTATTGACCCCCATCTCCATGGCCACCCCACAGGCATTTTAGCACGGCAGTTTTATGCCTGTGCTGCTACTATGGGGGCACCTGCACGAGGACGAGGAAGGCATGTTGTACATGTAGCAGGATTCTTCAAGGCTTCACATGTTGCAGGCCGTGGATGAGACTCTCATCAGCCTTCGGCTGGCTGCGCTGGCCGAGCGATCATCCCTCGACCCTTGACAGCCACAAGATCAAAGAGTGTCGGACACAAAGTGGACATCCAAATGGACATCCAAAACCACAAGCTTTCATTCGCTCAGGTCCGATGTGTATTGAAACGGCGTGGGTGGACTCATGGCCTGCCCAAGGACGGAGCCATGCCACGCATGGTCACGCCGCCCAAATTGAGGACCCAGTAGGCCCGACCCCGTGGTTCTGTTTTCATGCCCCCTATGCGCAGAGAGGTCCCTCATGTGCAGAGTGTTTGGCCCAGAGAAGTATTCGTGAGATGCCCCCTGGGCCCTGCTATGGCGGATGGGCACGATGTGCCACAACCGGTGTCCTACAGGCCGTATTCTGTGGAGCGCCTCGGCTGATTTTCCTTCTTGAGACAAACACAGAGGTTGGAAAAATGTGAATGCAGAATCTTGCAACATCTTGCAACATCTACATGAGGTTGATGTGTAACGCTTTCTTGTGGCCTAACAGTCTCTGCTTGCACAGTAAACCTAAGACGCAAGATAGCTTACCTTGTGCTTAAGTGCAAAAGACATGTATGGCCTGATCCAAGGGGGAGCGCTGCCCCGGAGCCAAAGCGGCCGAAAACCTTCCGACCACAGAAGCCCACCACGCAGAGAGCGGCCCCTGGGCAAATCGGTGTGTTGGGCCTGAATCGGAGCTGCTGTGAGTCACTGTTCGCCGCTGTTAGTTCTTTGTCTTCCGTGTTGCTGCCGTTAAGAGTCTATCTTCGGCAAAAGGTTGCATAGCAGAAACGATCACACCGCACAAAGCCTCTCCTTTGCTTCATATTGCCCACTTCGTTTCACTTCGTGCGCTCCACTCGCTCTGCGAAGTTGATGCCACTTCTGCTTACAACGCTTTTGCCACGCGCAGCAGCAAGCCAGCCCCATGTGCCGGTGGGTAACAACAGGCGGCCCCTTAGCAAGGCTGCACTGTGCTTCACGGTGACTTCACGTTTCTGCTTTCTGCAGAATACCAGGTCGAGAAGTCAAGTCTGGCTTCAGTGGGGCCAGAGGCCTCCTTACCATGTGCTGCAGACTCTGTGAGAAAAACAGCGTGTTCGGTGATAGGAGTCCGTCGGCGACATGCTGCACGCAGCTGTGCGGCGCCAGAGTGTCGAGTTTCAAGCAGGCTGGAAGTCAGCAGGGCATGGCAGATTGTTCAGAGGCAGGGTGCACTACTGGGCCCTCCATGAGTGCACGAGGTCGCGCACGGGACGCACCGCAGACGGCAGATTCTCGGCGCAAGTGTTTTAGACGGTAGCATCTGCGACAGTCGCCCAAAGCTGCCTGCAACTGTCAACTGTGCCCTGACACATGCAATCACATGCAGTTTCGAGATGTCAGTTCTCGTGGCTTGTCAGTAGAAAGGGCCCAAAGTTCCACATCATCGGCTGTCAGAAAGGCATGTGGCAGGCAATCGCCAACTGTTTTTCGCTGTATTATCATGGCTCCCAGTAGGCCGTGAAGCGCTCTGAATCATGCAGTCCTGGATCCGTGAGCTCGGAACCCTCCAGCTGCACATTGGGCCGAATGCGTTTGCATGGCGTTGTTGTTTCCTTTTTGCGGCACCTCCGAATGCAGGCTTGGATCAGAAGGCTTCTGCCTGACAGCTCTTGCTGAAACCGTTCAATATCGAAGCAGTGTGCATAGGAGCGCTTCTCGGGCATGTCCCTGAAGAGTTTCGGGCTGCTGCTTGGCTGCACACTGTTTCGGTCCTCCTCTCAGTGCTTTTTGGCCTCCGGGCCTCCGGGTGGCCCACACTATGAGCCAATTGTGTGTTTTATCCTGTGTTTTGTGCCAAAAGCCGCGAGAAACCAGTCCCAAGAACGAAAAGAGCCGAGAGAAGAAGAGAGAAGCAGTCTTCTTCGCTGTTCAGAAGAAGAGAAGAAGAGAGAAGCAGAGAGAAGACATGAATATGTTTCAAACAGGAAACGGTCTATTCTTCATAAACGTTCAGTATGGCACTCAATGTGGCTTTCGTGGCTCTTGTGTGGCTCTCTCCCCCCAAACTCAAATCGGCGCCCTTGTTTGAGGACCTCTAGCCTCGGCCATGGTGGCGCCGTCCCGAGGAAGGCAAAGGAGCGAAAGGAGGGAAGGCCGGAAAGGGACGTGTCATTACTTTTGGCACAAGCAACATGCGGATCTAGGACCCTGGCCAGCATTCATTGAAAGAATGAGTTTAGAAAGGTTGTAGTACCATAATGCTCGCAGGCAGCAAGGCATGTTGGAGCGCAACCTGTGAAGGTCCATGGACCTCATGGATCTTGCATTCTCTGGAAGCGTGCAGATGTGGAATGGCCAGCCGATGCCGAGCTACACGCCGCAACCTGCTTCGTTTGCAAGCTTTCACGAACACGGCGTTTTGACTTCTTTGCACCTGCCCAAAGCCAACAGCAGCGGCGGGGTGATGGGAGTGTAAGAATCATAAGATCGAGCTTGCTTTCTTCAGTTCTATTTTTTTCAAACGCCATCAGGATCTCTTTGCCTTACTTCAACGTGGAAGAGGAGGGCTCTGGCGCCGCTGACGAGCCCCAGGAGAAGAAGACGAGGCAGAACGGGGAGGTTCTTTCCTTTCAGGGTTCTTCCCCTCTTGGCTTCTCATGGGACTCAGAGGCCAAAGCTCATCCACATCGATGAGGCCAACTCCAAGGCTGCGGAGAAAATCCTCGGTCCCAACAAGGCCCCCCTGTTTTTTGCCGCGTGACCTTCGATTGACACACTAAACAACCAACACACGAAGTCGGCAACGGGCGCCTCAGCATCGCCGACGAAACAACGGACCCTCCCGTCCAATGCATTGGGCTGTGGGCTTACTCCGCGAACAGGCGCCGTTTCACAGAACAGACTAGGATGCGGCCCTGGCAATGCGGCCTCTCCTGCAAAATGAAACCCTCGCGGGCACAAATAGACTCGCCGTGGGACCCATACCACCGGTTAATCTGTTCTGCTCTTTGGTGTTGGGGGAGCCATTTGAATTGGGCCTGCCACATCCACTGGCCGCCGACCGAACTAAGATCTCGACACCTCTCAGCACTTTCTGCTTTTGAGACTCATTGATTGACCAGCTTGTGCCAGGAGCTGCTGGAGGACAGCTATTTCCTCTTGCAGATGCCCTGTGTGCTGCCGGAGATGAGCAAGCCCGACTCATGGCCTGACTGTCTCAAGTTTTCATGCCATTTACAGGCACAGCTGTTAGCACGTGGGCGCGCAGACTTGAAGCTTTGAAGCCTTCATGTGAGGAAGACGAGCTGTTCCGAGAAGGAGAAGACGCAGCTTCAGCTGGAGCAGGTGCAAGCACGCAGGCTAAATACATCGAAAGAGCCATGGCGCCCGACCCGCAAGTGAGTGAAGTGAGTAACTGAAGGGTCGCCTGCGGAAAGAAAGGCGGGGCCGACCAGCAAGTGTGCCGTGAGGGATGGACTTGCACTCCTGCATCGCAAAGGCCAAGGAGGTCTTTCTGTTGTAAAAAGTGTGCCTTGCTTTTTTGGATTCGAGTTCTGTGTTTTGCTTTGCGCATTACGTATGCTTTGCGCATTTTGCTTTGTGCACTTTGGCTTTGCTTCATTCTCTCTGCTTTGTTGCTTTCTGCTTTTCACTTTCCTACTTCATGCTTTCTCAGGGTTTTTGTCGACTCCCTTTGGCTTTTCTGCCCTTGGCTTCCTCCCATTGGCGTTTTGCCTAAGCATAGGGATCAAGATGCAGAGTATAAGGAGAAAGGGCCGAGGTGTCGGCCCCAGCTTTTTACACTTGGAGTTCTCAAAAAAAGCACAGATCGGCGACTGCCAGCACGTTGGGAAGAGGGGGTTTCCGAAACTGGGGGTACCTTATTGAGATTCCCTTGTGAGAAGGGAATCCTATTATTTGGGGATCATATTGGGGGGTCCCCTATTTTCGTAAACCCCCAAGTTTGGGAAGGAAGAAAGGGCGGGGAGGGGATGGGAAGGGGATCATGTTTCTCGGTGTGCTTGGGGGTCCTGCATCGTCGTGCGAGTAGCTATGAGGCGTGCTTTTGGGCGATTTGGCCCCATGCGTTTCCTGGGTTCGATGCTTCTCTAGCTGTAGCGCACGCTGTTGTGCGCTGCTGGCCTCTTCCGTCTCCTTCGTGCTTGGATAGCTTTCAACACCTTCGGTACCCAAAGGTGTGATAGAGCAGACCGATGCAGCACTGGTTATTCAGGTACATTTTGCCGTTTTTCCTATTGCTTTGTCCGTCCCTGAAGACTCGAAGGAAGTCGGGGAAGTTTGACTTGTCAAAAAGCTCTTCTGAGTGGTTTTGCGAGGGGCATGGGTCGGTGGTTTCAAAGCTGAGTCGCCTGAAACTTTCTAAGGATGCATTGTAACTGTACCTTGGGCGAATGAAGGCCACGAATGTCAACAGGGAGGTGACGGAGGGCTTGGGGTGCGATGGTTCTTCGTTGTGACATGGTGGGTGGGGTCTGCGTGGCTTTTGTTGGTGAAAGGCGGCATTTTGACACAGTAGTTCGTCCAGCTATGCGGGTGGCAAAAAGATCCGAGACAACCCTAACATCAACGGCCACTCGAAACGCAAGCCCCAAGCTTCAACCCTTGTACTAAGCCCTGAACCTTGTCTGACACTTTTCCACAGTGCTGCCTTGCGGTGGGTCGTGAGTTCTGACGTGCACAACAACAAATCGGAGAACTTCTTCCGCCTGGCGAGGTGCCACCATCACCCGGCTGCCAGATGGCAAGCTGGGGAAGCTTCGCGTGTACAAGCCTGTACCTTACAACCGCGTCACTTTCCCTTGATGACCTGTGGGAGGTCGTGCACCGAAAGCTAGGAAACGTGTACCTTTGCGTGACAGGTCTGGCAAAGTCCGAATGGAGATTGGTGGCATTTCGTTCTGTGTCGACCAGGGATGTGAAACTTTCTTCCAGCAGGAGCGGAAGCTGAAGCGAACTGAGCCGATGATTCATAGGCTTTGGAGAATCTTGAGTCTCAGAGGACCTGGCACTGGTTTGCCCGCTGGCTGGGGAGTTTTTCAACCTTGGGCGGCTGAACACCAGGCCGTCCGAGGTTTGACTTCAGACGATGACGCTTCTCATAGCCATCGAAATTCGTCTAGACATGGAGTGCCCGACATTCCTAGACTCCTAGACACATGACAGGATGGTGCTGACCCCCGACCTGGATGCAATCCTGGCGCAAGTTCCCGAGATGCTTCCCCAAACAGAGGAGACGCCGAAGGCCAGGGATGGGTCGGTGCATGGATTGGTGGTCACATGTGGTCACTACGTACCGGAAAAATCTCCGCAGACCACCATAGAAGCCCAGCATCCAATGTGGAGGAGGCTGAGCCGGCTCGAGAGCAAGCGGCGCCGTCCAGAAAGGAGAGTTTTTTTGTTGTTTTTTTCGCTCTCTCTCTGTCTCTCTCTCTGTCTCTCTCTCTGTCTCTCTCTCTCTGTCTCTCTCTCTGTCTCTCTCTCTCTGTCGCTCTCTCTGTCTCTCTCTCTCTGTCTCTCTCTCTCTCTCTGCCGATATTTTGTTGGCATTTGCAGATGCAGGTGGGTAAATTGCGCCATTCCTGGCAGGACCCTCCAAGTTCCGCTGCCCAACTGCCGGTGTTTCCTGCTGCTCGCGGCAAGGCCGATGTGTGACACTTGCAGTTCAGGATGGTTGAGGGCTTCGGGCATTCGGCCGTGCTGTGTGTGTACCTGGCGTGAACCCTCAACATTCCCAAGTGCTGCATCGACATCGAAACTATACCCTGGGAGGGACGTGGCCGTGGTTCCCGTGCCACTCGGAGCAACAAATCATAGTCTCATGTTGCTTGCAGGCATTGAGGATTAGCAGCATTGTGGGACTATTCGAAGCGGTGGTCCGTGCAGCGGTGGTCCGTGCAGCGCTGGCTGACCCTGTGTGCTATTTGCAGCCCAAGAAGAATCCGGGAGACGAGTCCACCGATGTCCACGCGGGGGCTTTCCAAAGGCTCAGCTTCCAGCGCCCCGCAGAACTCCGATTCAAGCATGGGCGGCGCGAATCACGCACAGCGCTATTCACGCACTCACCGCACCGGTTCAGGCACGCGCGATTCACGCACGAATGCTGATTCAAGCACCGCTGATTCACATCATCTTGCTAGGCCGCGCCAAACCGCCGGTGCGGGAAGCGGCCGTGCCAGTGCGCGATGAAGCCTGTCTGTTCTTGCCGTCCTTTCGGCCCAGACGTTGCGCCGCAGTTGGGTGCATCCAGGAATCTTAGCCTGCCACATCAGCTCGAACTCCCCGGGGCCTCCACATGATTGCTCGCCGCGGCGTTTGGGGCTTGCGGCCTTCGCTTGCCGAAGCGTTTCACAGCTATGCTTGCAGCGGCACCATTGCGAATGCACACATGCCGCAGGATAGTACGTCCGTGTTATCAGTGTATCCTGTGGCGAACGCACACATGCCAAGGATACTCATGCTTGTTTGGCCAGCGCATCGGATGCATGCAGTGCTAACAAGACAAGTATGTGGGCTAGTGCGGGCCAGGTGCGCGTCTATGAAAGGAGATATCGGTTTGCACCGTTGCAGTTATAACATTATAAGAGGTGTTCAAAGCACTAGCATAGCCTTACTACTTGGTTTCGCAGGTTTTATAACGTTCGCTCTGCAAGTCCCGCGGCAAGGCGCGCTGGCGGCTCGCGTTTCTGCATACTGCTTCTTCGAGGAAAGACTGTCAGGCAGCTTGATAAAGTAGACAGCATTTGATCATGCGCTGCTTTTGCCAAGGGGAAGAGATGACTTTGGGTCGCTCATCACGGCCTCTCCAAAGATTCTGCAAGATGCAGTAGTGAGAAGCCAGGGAGCGAAAAGTCTGCAGCGCTCTGAGATGATGCCTTTCCTTCTTTGCCGTGCCTTTGTTTTTTCATCTCTCGAAATTGATTGCCATTTTGTTACGCAATGTGCTAAAGAATTGCATGTTTGACTTTCGACACTCGACATGATAAGTTGGTGCTAGACTGCACGAGATGTTGACTGCTTACATGCTCATCTGGTCCCACAGCCACCATGCGCCACACACCTCATACTCATGCAGGATGTGGCAGAGTTGCAGAAGGATGTCACGGCGCTGACAACGGGCTGGCGGCAAAGTGCGCTGGAAGTCGATGCAAGTTGCATGATGGAGGTCCGGAACGCTTTGCAAAGACAAGTTCTGTGCTCATCACAGCTCCATGATCCGGCTTGCGAGAAACCCAGGTTCATTTTTGTACCAAAACAGCTCGATTTGTACGCAAAGCGGTTTCGCTCAAAGTGATCGGTGTGGCACTCCTGTCAGGCTGCAGTGACGGCAGCGTTTGCTTGCCGCCCGCTGCGTGCTCTGGCCCAGCTGCACGGGCCTCATGGTGGTAGGGTCAGAGCATTGGGGACATTGTCGGGAGTGAAAAAGTGTTGAGAATGGTGCTTAAGAGTGTGTTGGCAGGAGTGTCAAGAAAAGTGAGCCATCCCCCCGGCCCTCGCTCAGGCGGCTGCGAATTCATCCTGCCGCGGAGCTGTCGGGCCTTGGCGCACTCAAGGTTCCTGGCTTGGGCGCACTGTCTTCAATCTTTCCCTGCAAAGCCTGCAGAGCTGTTGCACGGGAGGCAGAGGGTGGGAAGCTCTACCACGCGTTGAGCACTGCCGCGAATCAGATTGCAGAGCTACGTGCAGAGCACCGGCCCACGGCCTAGCTCGCCACACATGGCCCTTGATGGCCATCGGTGGCCATCGGTGGCCATCGGTGGCCCTGGCCCATTGTTTGGTCAAGCCTTCCCAGGAGTTTGACTTTCACCTGTGCAGACCCTGACTGTGCCAGCGTTTCCATGCCCAGGTATGTCCATTCGCCCTTGAAGCGGAATGTGAAGGAGCTGTCGCTCCTGGCAGCCTGGCAAGCAGATTTGAGTTGCAACATTCAGAGCCTAGGGCCGAGGCTTTCCGCTTTCTGGCTCAAATCCAGGTGAAGAGCCAGGACATTCTGCTGCGCGCGCTCACTCGGAAACATTCGCCAAGGTCCAAGACGGGAGCTGCTCATTGTTGCTTAGTGAGGGTCCGGGCCATGTAGCCGCTTGTTCTGAGTGCAAATATGTGGCTTCGGGGCTGTCGCACGGAAAGCAGATTGCCCGGCGATGCCTTGCACCAGATGAACAAAGTTGTGAAACTTGGGAAAGCCATGTTCTTCAAGCTAAGTGCCCGGCTGTGGGCCATGCTGTCTCTCGTGCTGCTTTGCAGGCGGGCAAGCACTCTGCAGTCCGTGGCGGAGGAGGATGAGAGATCGCAGCGGAGTTCGCACAGTTCGAACAGCAACACGCCACCCCAGCACCTCGCAAACGAAGGGCCAAGCAGCCAAGGGAAGCAGCAAAACAGCCTGGTAGGGCACAGCTTTAGCCTTCCGAAAAGCAACCTATTAGCCACATTGTCACGTCAGAGCCGTCTTGAGGGTTTGGATTTTTGTGCACTTCCATCATATGCAGGTTCGTCTTATGAAGTTCCGGTGCAAATGTTCAAGTTTTGTTTGGCATCTCTGGAGTCGGCCTCCATGGCACATCTTCGCCGCGTTCGCAGCTTAGGCCGCGGCCAAATCCACATCCAGCGGCGGAGCCCAAGGGGCCCCAGCCCGTCGAGGAGCCCAAGACGCCTGTCGCGGAGCCCGAAGCTGCCCGGCCTTGTCGTGTTGTGGTTGAAGGATTTTGAAGGATGCTTGAAGGCAGTTTAGGGCCTAGGGTTGAACATCAACATGAACTGAGTGCCAATGTATACTCGCGTTTACCTAGACTCGGAAGGTTGCAGGAACTGGGCGGAGGCAAAAAACCGCCGAACTGTTGACCTGAAGCCGCTACTCGCTACTCAGGCACAAGCACCAGCACAGTCGAGCTCCGAGCCGTCTCTTGCAGAGAAAGGGGGTCTCTACAAGGATTCGGCACATGTCTTCATCTTCCAGTCGTGCCCGGGCCATGTCCGAGGTTAGGCATCATTGGACCAGCTAAGGTTTCCACTCCATGTGGTTCATGCGCGGAGCGAGCCTCGCACGCAGTCGAGCTGCCTCAAGCCTCACAGTAGCCTCACCTTGGCGAAAAGTTTGGCTACTGCAGAGAAGGTGGAGGTTTGGGGTGAAGCCGGGTGAAAGACCGCTTGATCCATTGTCGCGTGATGTGACCGAACCTCCAACCGAGATGAGCACCGTCTCGGACGCCAGCCTTGGAGCACTTAGTGCACCACAGTCAGCGACAGGCAAGCTGCTGGCTTTTCGTGGTTTCACTTTGCAAGCAACATGGGCGGCGGGAGACCTGGCCTTGCTTCCAGATTGCAGGTTCGACTCCGAGGCCCACAATCTTGGGCAGAGAGTCCAGGACCCTGGTGTGGCTCTTGGCTCTGTTCTCTCTAGATTGTTCATGTTCTCATAACGAGAGGACTCGGAGCCACGATGCCAATGAAGTCGCTGACCAGCTCGCCACCCTGCTACTTGGAGATGAGAAGCCAGCATTTTGTGCCCATGTCGGTTGGAATCTGTTCCGAGCGGTGTTGAGTCGACAACCCCATGATGCCGACATGGCAAAGGTAGCACCTGGTAGTGGAGCTAATGAAACAGCACATACTCCGATAGGAGTGACCAGCAATGATTACAAGCTCTGGGTGCATAGCTCGCTCCACGCACATGGCCCCGCGCCGCAGCGCCTGGCTCTTCCTGGCTGCGCTGGCCTCCAGACGCAGATATGGGCATCTATGGGCTTCAGGGTCCAGCTCCTGGTTGAAGAAGGGTCCAGGGTAAATTGCACAGTGCCTTTTTGGGGCTTGCATGGAAATTGGAGTTGGGCCACGGAGTTTCACAAAAGCCATGGCTCCTCGAACTATCTGGGATGGGTTGTCTAGTTGCCTAGGCTGGCAATGGTAAACAGCCAGCAGTGTCGTAGCCCTTCTGGCCATGTCAGCTTCAGATACTGGGGCCGACATGCTTACCGCGCACGGCGGTGCCTTTTCCTGGTGGCTTTGTGGATGCCAGGACGTGTCATGGCATGGGTTCAGTGGTAGCTTTTGCCTTTGTTTGCCGTCGCACAGGTTGGTGAAGGTTCCTTGATTGGAGCTGTACCTGTTGCATACCTCTGCTGAGGCACGATTGCAGCCAACATGGTTGCGGCGAAGTGCGCTTCCAGCGAGAAAGACAGAACGGACAGTACCAGAGGCGTGCAGACTAGAACAGGGATGGACTCCGAACCCCAGCACAAGGCTGCAGAATGCATCCCACACATCCATGTTTTGGAAGTGCATGGTCTCAACGAAATGCCCTTGCAGCTCTCCGTGGGCTGCCTGGGACCCGCTGGTGGGCAGTTGCGCACGTTCTCCTCGAGTTGGGCGAGCTGCTTGCCATTCTTTGTACAAATCCGAAAAACTAGAGGACAAGTTTTGTCTAGCTTTTGAGGCATGGCAAGTCCCAAACGCTTTGCTTCAAATGTCCAGGGCTGACAGCCACATTTGGGACCTTAGAGGGCGGAAGCTCGAACCAGGCAGTTGTGTCGGGCGCTTGGACAAGCGGGTCGACGAGTGTCAAGATGGAGCGGCGTGAGCTCCTAGAAGAAGTCCTCGACTGCCTGGCAGACGCTACGCACCGTGGCGAACTGCGAGAGGATGGGGGTGTTCCAGGTTCCGGCATGCAGTGTCGGGGCTCTGTTCTGATGGTGTCATAGCGCAGAGTATCCCTGAGCATTGCCTGGTGTGCCCAGCTCCAGAGAACTCCGGACAGCATCTTGCAGAGTGTGCCTCTAAAGTGCCCGGCCCCCAAAGAATCCAAGAAAATCTACTGGAACTGCGGATCCAGTGTAAGACCCTTTGGCACCTTGAGCGCAGGTGCTCGCCCCGTCCAGCCCCGGCTCCAGGAGTTCCAGGTTGGAAGAAGTCGCAAGAAGTCTGCCCTCTTTTTCCCTTACTTGTACATGGCTCCAAGAGCCCATACCTTGGTACTGTAAGCGCCGGCCCATCCTCAAAGGAGGCAGCAGCCGGCTCATCCAAGCTCTCCAAGTTTCTCCTCTCTGAGGCAGCAAGGGGGGGGGCTTTCCTGATTGCCTTCTCCATGCATGACCTTACAGCTGAGTTTTCTGAGTACTGGCGCATGTTAATCTCATGCAATCTCATGCAGCTCTTTCTTGTGGTAGGACTTGGGGAGTGAAGCGCTTGCAAGATTGTCGCGTGGCCCTTACATCTCGTGTGCTTGCCTTGGAAGCCTGCTTCGGGCATAGGTTGATGGGAGAACCTGTCCTACCTGTCGCATGCAGCAAGCCGTTCAGCCAACCGAAGGTTCGCCCCTCCTGGCTGGCGCATGACGAATTGGAATGTGTCTGGGCAGAACTTGAGCATGGCAAGAGTCGTTGTTTACAAGTACGGTTGTTCGCAGTTGCTGGGGCTCCTTTATCATCTTCGTCACCATTGTCACTGAGTGTGGCGTGACAGAGCATGCCTAGACTACTAGACCTGTCTTACACCGGTACCACGTCCTCCTGAGAGAACCTTCGGCATGGTGCGCTTGGAATTCATGATTCGTCCCTTTTTTTAAGCTTGGAGAGCAGCGCAGCGAGGCCTGCTTCTGCGGGCACATCTTGACAATTGGCATGGGAGCTGGTGTTTGGGCCTCGGTCTCTTACTCCCTACTCTTTTCAAAGCATAGTACTGGCACGGCCGATTCCAGCATTGCATTGCTTGGTGTGGATCAAGGGATTAAGCAAAGGGAGTTTGGTCCGCCAGATTCTGGCGCGGTCAGTTCAAGCTTCCTCCATTCTGCTGCCTGTACCTTTTCTTTCGAGGGTGTCGTCACAAAGATGCAGGGCGCGTGATTTGGGGTGGAAGGGAGGCAGCAGTGAGCGACGCAATGGCTTCCTTGTAAGGCACGCCTTCAGGATCCTTTCGGCCAAGTCTTACCGAAGGACAGGCTTCCCAGGCGTCATCACGGGCTTTCCTCTCCTTCCCTGACCTTCTCTCCCTTCCTCATCCTTCATGGTTTCCACCTATGCGCCAAGGCCACTATCTATGGAGACGCTTGGCTTGTGTCAGTTTGGTCCTGTCAGCTCATGTGGGCCAGCAATGGCTGCTCCGCGTGGCATGGGCAGCGCCCGGATGCTTCAAGTTGGATTGCTTCAGACGCGAACAAGCGCTTGTCTCGAAATGACAGTCAGATACTACATACAGCTCACGTGCCCTCCTCTGTGCAGTAGCAGCGAACCAAAGCAAAACGACAGAGGATTGACTCTGGAGATGTTCACTTAGCAACACGCACATGACTTTCTTTCCGCAACATGCGGAGATGCCGATGTCGGCGTGGAGAGTGTGTACTTCCATGCTGCGCTATGGCACTTTGCCTTCCAAAGGCCGCAGCTGGCAGGAGGCCAGGATTTGCTTTTGAGAGCAGCAGGTGCTCCAACGAACACAAGGATCACAGGAACACAAGGAACACAAGGAACACAAGCACGGGTCTCCTTCATTTCTGTGTCTTTTCGTTGTTTCTTGCTGCTGTGCCCGGGGCGAAGTGAAGAAGCGGCATGCAGGCTGCATGAAAGCGCGTCCTGCTTTGGCAGACGTATGCCGCACTTCGATGAGGTGTGCCAAGGCAGGCAGCTTTGGCTGTCAAGGGCCGCAGAACGCTGAATGCCGAGTCATGACTGCATCAGGCGGCGGCGCGCTCGTTCCGGCAAGGCGGTGAGACATAGTCTACAGTAGTGCTGAGTGGCTGTGATTTGCTGGGAATAGTTCTTGTGCAGCTGCAACGGTTTCTCCGCATGTTTGCAGAGCCTGGCTCGGTTGCCCAAGTGATCCTCTAAGCGCACGAGCCTCCATGAAGGTTCCATGCAGAAGGCCGGCACGCCCACGACTCGGCCGCACAAGTTGCGACATTGTGCTGTTAGCGACGCAATCAGTTCTTTGCATCCTGCTGCAATAGTCCGCAACATTCTGCAACTATCAGGACAGGGGCATGAAAGCCTCAGCTATTCTTGAGACCTTGGGCTTGGACGATGCCGTCAAATTGGCACAGCCCTTGAACGAGACCCCGCCCTGTCAATGACTGCAGGGTGTTCCGCCCTACCCCCCCCCCCCCGCCCGCCCTCGCCCCTGCCCCTCCGAACCTCTCTCTGTCACCCTGTCGGTGTTTTGCCAATGATGTCTGGCCTGCGACGGGAGGCGCGCTGAAGAACGTGTTTTTTTCCTCAAAATGGCCTTGACGACGTGAGTGGGACCATCCGAAATCGAACCGGGGTTTGAGGATTGAAGTCAGCGATTCGGTCGGCGGTTCATCTTCAATTCTGGGCCATGAGGGCAAGGATTCTCACTTTCCAAGGCTGGAGGACCGCCCTGTGCTGGCAGACATTCTCTCTGCTTTCGCGTGCGCCCGCCCCGTATTATACTTGCGCTAGATCTTCATTGTATCACGGTCGAGACCGATAATGCCTGGAGCTGTTTAGTAGGAGCAGGCTCTTGCAGTAATTAGCCATGTGGCTATCCGAGGCATCTGATTGTCCGCTGCAGAAAGCGGTTGAATGTGTTAGGCCGAGAGCAGAGAAGGTCTTCCGGCAGAATGATGCAGGATGCACTTGGAAGAAGCTTGGTCGCTTTGCTGTCGACCCCGGCCTTGAAACCGAAATCATGTGCCGCCCATCTACCTGATTGCAAGGTCTGTTTCACGTTTCGATCCCCCTAGGTCCAAAGTTTGAACTCTTGCTTCCTGGCGATACGTGTTTTCCAAAAGCAGGCATCAAGGGAAGCGATTGGGATTCAATACTGGCGGATCACAATCTCGGGCACTGAGGGTGTGCGGAGGTGTAGTAGAGGAACGTGGCGCTGTGCACTTTCTGAAGATGCCGGGCATCAGACTCAATAGAGGTCCCCCATCGCTTTCGAACTAAGACTGTCCGACATCCCCAACTGCAAAGCAGTTGCTGGATCAGCCGCGGCTGAGTGGCGTCGTAGATCACCCTGAAGGCGGAGTGTAAGCGCTCCTGGCCAGGACCTCTCTGCGACGCACGCAGACTTTGGAACCGAGTTCCGCAAGCGACAGTGGCCCAGCATCAAGGGCCACACCGGCCGGGAGCTTATTTCTCGGTGCAGCTGTGGGGGATTGATTGGACTAAACTTGATAGGGCGAACCTTCACCTGCAGGTGAGACCCTCCATCTCGGGTCTCCCCAGAGAGGTGAGTGAGTCAAGGAGCTTTGATGCTGAGGGATTGTCTGTCAGGGCGGATGCGTCAGGGCATCTGAGTGTGGACGTGGAACATTGTGGAATGCATCTCGAAGCCTTCAGCTTCCACTCCTTTCATCTTTCCGGACAGGACCCGGGATGTAGAGAGAGGCGATGCCGAGCCTGAAACTGAGCTGTTGCAGTACCTCACCCTTCATCCGATAACGGTATAACTTGTATAACGCTAAGGTTTCTTGGCCGCCGTCGACGTGCTGCCGCTGTAGCACTACAGACCCCAGAGGCCAGATGGGTTACAAAGAGTTGCAAACCTGCAAAATCTCGAGAACACACTCTCGCACTCTGAGAGAGCCCACAACGTGTGTTACACACTTTGTCACTTTGTGTAGCGATTCATCAGGCGATCCCCATCCTGGCCACCGGGCACGTCAAAGCACGAGTTCCTCAAGATGTGGAATTCCCGAGGCCTCCGAGAGCAACTGTTCTAGAAACTTCGCCCACGGGCATGCAGGATCCGTTTGACGACGCTTGCTGTTTTTCCGACCTGCATGGGGCCTTGTCCACGAAGGCGACAGGTGGAAGAGCTGTGGGAACCTGAACTGCAGAAGGAGGCGGGCTGCGAAGTCTTAGATTCTTAGATTTGACTGAGCAATGCTGCCGCAATGTGCTCGTAACTAGGGAGCTTCGGGCGTGTAGCTTTGCATGAGACCAGCTGCATGCCAGTTTCGTTTGGCCTTCGAGCAAGAAAGCCAGATGCTCCAAGAGCAGCAAGTGAAGGAGGACCGCTGTTCTCGGTCTGGATATTGTTTTTCAACAGATCCATCGTGCCCTTGCATGGTATCCGGTCCGCCTCACCGTCAGGACGAGTCACCCCGGCAACAGCTGTGGGCAGATGTTGTTTGGGCCCTGTGCCTCTTGAAGTGAAGGCAGGTAGCCGTGAGAGCGCATGGGCATGAAGACAGCGATTGAAGCGCGTTGCATCCTGGCCCTTGACCTCTCTGTGCCGAGGTTCGCAGCTTGCAAGGGCACTGGCAGGCTGGGTACCCACCGACTCAGCTCCTCCACTGCTTGCCTTTCTCAGGGACCAACAACCTCATTGAGCAATTCTGGGGTCCTCCCTCTCCATAACTCTAGGCCACCCTGGATCTTCGTACCCTAGAAGGTTGGCATGGCGCAGAAAACTGTAGCAGGCTTCAACTTCAGGGGGGATGGGTAAGTAGCAGAGCAATCCCAAGAACTGGACGGAAGATTTGTGCTTCCACCAGAAATCCCCAAGGACCAGATTCAAGGAGGCCCCTAACCTGTGCGTGCGTGGGTGGGTGGCTGGCTAGGTTGGTGGGTGTAGGTGTAGGTGTAGGTGTAGGTGTAGGTGTAGGTGTAGGTGTAGGTGTAGGTGTAGGTGTAGGTGTAGGTGTAGGTGTAGGTGTAGGTGTAGGTGTAGGTGTAGGTGTAGGTGTAGGTGTAGGTGTAAGTTGCATCACATCTTCACAACGAAGCAACCGCGGGTTTCTGTGTGTCTCTGTGTGTCTCTGTGAGTCTCTGTGTGTCTCTGTGTGTCTCTGTGTGTCTCTGTGTGTCTCTGTGTGTCTCTGTGTGTCTCTGTGTGCCTCTGTGTGTCTCTGTGTGTCTCTGTGTGTCTCTCCGTGTGTCTCTGTGTGTCTCTGTGTGCCTCTGTGTGCCTCGGGTCTCTGTGTGTCTCTGTGTGTCTCTGTGTGTCTCTGTGTGTCTCTGTGTGTCTCTGTGTGTCTCTGTGTGTCTCTGTGTGTCTCTGTGTGTCTCTGTGTGTCTCTGTGTCTCTGTGTCTCTGTCTGTGTCTGTGTGTTTGTGTGTGTGTGTGTGTGCTCCTGTTTCGGGCAGTGCCACCTGACCTGGATTGTTCGTATCACCCGAATCCCTCTGCACTGTGCTGTTTTGGTTGGGTGCCATCTGGAAGCATGTTGAGTTCTTGCAAGGACGCCAAGTACAGCCACGTCATCAAGGCGAGATATTCGGGATATTCGGCATGCAATGTGAACATGTTGTTTGTCGGTACTTGCTGTTGTAGGCATCGGAAGTTGCTGTTTGGAATGCCTTTTTGACACGTGGGATCTGTAATTGATAGGCACAAGAAGAGCTTGCCGCAGTCTTGTAAACATGGGATGGTATTCCCGCGAACGACATGCCCGTCGGGAGCGTTTTGTCTCTAGTCAATCTATCGTATACAAGGCCTGGACATGACATGCCCTTGCTTCGTCTGGACTTCAGTCAATGACGTGGGTGCTGGTTGCTACTTGTAAGTGATGATACGTGGGCAAACGAGTGGGCAAGTTTGCGAGCGAGGAGCTTGGCAAACCAAGTCGAGCCTGTGATCCGAACACAAGAACGATCTTTCAAAAAAAACCGAAGTAGCGAAGCAATCGACATGCATCCCTTCACGCAGGAGGTCCAGGGGTCCTTGAAGACATGGCGCGCGGACCAGCCAACTCAGCAGGCGCGAGATGTAGTATTGCGATGTTGTGGAGCGTCCCGAAATTCCCGAGATCCACACCAGCCAGGGACCGAATTACCTACTAGAGCAGACAGGGTGTGCGTGCACGTGGGTGCGGTGTTTGCAGTTGAATGCATCGTGGGGTGAGCAGCAAGGCAGTATAGCATTGACAGGCAACCTTGTGGTTACGCAAGGACGGCGTCGATCGCACCTCAGCTTTTTTTGCAGCCATGGCAGGCTATGACGTTTCCTGCGCGCGCATGCCCCCGTCGTGTTGTTGCAGGTTATGTTGGGCCAGGGCAATGTGCAATTGGACATGGCCACCCTCGGATCCAGAAACATCCGGTGGAAGCGAAGGCCCTTGAGGGATGGCATGTGC